ATTGTTGAAACATGATAGTCTGAATTTGAAATGTGCTGTAACAAAACACACACATCAGACTTTGAAGACTTTGTATGAAATGAAAATAAATATATATTTGAAATTTAAATATTGATTATACATCAAAATAATCCTTTGGGGCAGGCATTGTGGTAAAGGCAGGCTAAGTTGCCATTTGCGTCACCCATATTCATTCCTTGTTGGGGGTGCCAGTTGAGTCACAGCTATTCTACTTTGAAACTAGCTTCCTGCTAAGACATTCTCCCACATGGAAGACTTAGATGGTGTTTCCGGCTCCTAGCTTTGGCTAGACCTAATGTTGGCTCTTCTGGGCTTTTTGGGGAATGAATCAAAGGATGGATGATCTCTTTCTCCACCCACCCCTCATGACTCTTTCAAGCAGATGAACAAAACACTTTAAATATACAGGATTACATAAAATATATTATTAAAATTAATTTCACCGGGCCTGATGTGGTAGCCTAGTGGTTAAAGACCTCATCTTGCACACACTGGGATCCCATATGTGCATCGGTTCTAATCCTGATGGCTCTGATTCCCATCTGCTTGTGTCCTGGGAAAGCAGTTGAGGACAGTCCAAAAGCCTTGGGACCCTGCACCGGCATGGGAGACCCAGAAGAGGTTCTGGGTTCCTGGCTTCATATCAGCAGAGCCTGGCCATTGTGGCCACTTTGGGAGTGAATCAATGGATGGAAGATCTTCCTTTCTCTCCTCATCCTCTCTTTATATCTTCCTTTCCAATAAATCTTTTAAAAAATTAATTTCAATTTTTAGAAAACTGAGCAACAGGAAGAGAGAAAAGGCAGAAAGAAAGCTCTGAACCCCACGTGTACACAAGAACTGGGGCTGGATCAGGTCAAAACCAGGAGCTGGGAACACATGGTCTCTCCTATGGGTGGCAGGGATCCAGCTACTTGAGCCATCACATGCCGCCTCCCAGGATCTGTATTAGCAGGAAGCCCAGGACTCCAACCCCAGCACTCTAATAATAGGATGTGGGTGTGTCTTAACTGTTAGGACAAAGGCCTACCTTACTTTCTATTTTTCCTTTTTATTTAAGACATGCCCACTGGTGCTAGTGCTGTGGCACAGAGGGTGAAGCTGCTTCCTGTGGTACCAACATCCTAAATGCTACCTGACTTGATCCAGCTCCTGGCTAATGCACCTGAAAGAGCAGTGGAGGATACCCCAAGTGTTTGGGTCCCTGCACCCATGTAGGTGACACAGAAGAAGCTTTTGGCTTCAGAACAGCCCAGTTCTGGCCACTGTGGCTATCTGGGGAGTGAACCAGCAAGTGGAAGATGTTGCTGTTTGTTTCTGTCTCTTCCTCTCTGTTTAACTCTAGTAAATCAATCTTAGGGAAATTTTTTAAATTATGCACGTGACTCATACAGTTTGTATTATAATTTGATTAGATAATCCCATTTTCTCCTTGGGGCCCATAAGAACAATACCTGAAATTCAGAGTTTTCCCAAGAAATACTGGCTAAAGGCAGTAACCTAGTCTGAGGAGGGTCTTCAAGCTAAGAATCGGCAAACTCCTGTTTCTTTTCATAAAGTGTTCATTTAGTCTAAAACCTGGCTATCTGGAGAGGCAGCGGAAGAGGAATGCAGAGGAAATGTGTGAGGCTGCTGATGAGCTAGCCTGAGGAGGCTGTGGGTTCCCAGCTGTATTTACACTCAGCTTCAGTGAGTAAACACCACTTCAGTGGGGCCAGCCCAAATGTTTATTTCTTTGAAAATACCATTTGCAGAGCAAGAGCACTTGTTTCACAGTCTGTTGCAGGGAGACAGATCTACACGATTCTTCCAATTCTGCTGCTCACCCATTTGATGACTTCAGAACCATTCCCACTTGCGGGCCACTGTGTTGTTGCCTCCATTGAGAGAAATATTTTGTTTCAATATGGGACATGAAGACAGCAAATGGGTTAAAGGACTTAATAAGCGGTTTGCATAATAAGGCTTGTATTAACACAGTTCTTCTAAAAACTGCTTTGATCGCTTCCATTTTCTGTAATGAGCAAGCTACTCCCTCCCTTTCCTCATGAAATGGTGCCTTGGCATACAGCCATCAGCAGTCCTGATGGGCCAGACCATTCAAGTGGATTTGAAGCTACTTGTAAGCAATTGTAGCAATTCTCCATTCCCAGGGCAGTGGAAAAAAATTTTGAACTTAAGTGGTTAGCTTGGAGGGGGCAGGGGGGCAAAAGAAGAGAAAAGAACAATGTCACAAATTACAATAAAGTAAGGTAGGGGTTTTTGATTTCCAAATATGGAACACACTTTAGGAGGAAGCACTGAACTATTCAATAAGGAGCATCCATAAAAGCAAGGTTTGTGAGATGCTTTCCTTCCTCCAGGCCCCTGCCACACCTTCATTCTCCTCTAAGAGATGCTGGGGAAGGGGGCTGGTGGTGCACTGAGAGCCACTGACAGATTCTAGAATTTGGAAATGCTTTTGCTTTGCTGTAAATAAATGCTGTGGGCCTCATCAGTGCAATGAGAAAGTAATACTCCTCATGAATATTTTAGATTTTAAATCTCAGCATAGTGTGCATGGTAAATCATACTTCGAAAGTGTTCTTTTAAAATCCAACAACAAAACAAGCAGCAGCTTAGACTACCGGAGCTTTAAGCACTACGGGCACCTTCTCAAGGGATGGGCCCGTACTGGGTCCATGGTGATGCAGACAGATAAAGCAGGGTCAGGATGAAATCCTGTGCAGTTCCAAGGTATTAGTTGGTACACTTGCCTATATAGAGGGTCCCCTCCCATATGATACCCAAGACACACACATTTCATGTAAACCCTGTGTGGTGGAGAAGGGCGTCTTACCTGCAGTAAAGGCATCAGCTGTAAGCCCAGCGCTTGCTCGTAGAGCAAGTTGAGTTCTGCGCAACTGGAGAAGGAGAGCTTGGAGGTGTAGAGGTAATAGTGCACGTGCCGGAAGGTGGAGCCATCGCGGTCGATGAACAGCCTCTGGCTCTCAGAAGCCGTCAAGGCAGCGGCTTCCTTCCACAGCAGGGAGTCTGGGAACTGAGCAAGTTTGCTTCTGGGCACTGAGAAATGCCAACCCCCAACGTTGAAGTGAAACAAGTCCTCAGCCGAGTCCTGAGGCCCACCAGGCTCCTCCTAGGGGGAGACAGAAAGAGCTAGGCAAGAAAAGGAAATAGAAGAGCAGCCAGATTGAGAAGGAAGAACTAAAACTACCTCTGTGTGCCATGCACATAATTGTGTGGATAGAAAATTCTCAGGAAGGGTCTAGTGCAATAGCCTAGTGGCCAAATCATCATCTTGCACGCCCAGGACCCAATATGGGTGCTGGTTCGAGTTCCCACTGCTCCACTTCCCCTTCCAGCTCCTTGCTTGTGGCCTCAGAAAGCAGAAGAGGATGGCCCAAAGCCTTGGGACCCTGCACACACGTGGGAGACCTGGAAGAAGCTCCTGGCTCCTGGTTTCAGTTTGGTCAGCTCTGGTCAACCATTGTGACCACTTGGGGAGTAAATCAGCACACAGAAGATCTTCTGCTCTGTCTTTCCCTTTCTCTGACTTCACAATAAAAATACACTTTTTAAGTAGTAAAAATAATAAGAACTGCATCTAAGACTTTGCCAAGGAAGGTAAATAAATTGCATGCAATTAAGAAGTGAACTCCATGTCTTCTACGGTAAGGCTGGTCTACAGATTCACAAGAGCAAGAGGCCAGCACTGTGGCACAGTGGGTTAACCTGCTGTTTGCAACACCGATATCCATATGGTGTGTGCCAGCTTGTGTCCTAGCTGCTCTACTTTCAATCTAGTCTCCTATGTAACGCACCTAGGAGGGGCAGCAGCACACGGCTCAAGTGCTTGAGCCCCTGCCCCTGATGGGGGAGACTCAGGTGGAAATCCTGGCTCCTGGCTATAGCCTGGTCTATTCTGGGTTGTTGGGGCCATTTGAATGAACCAGTGGAATTTCTCTTCCTGTCTCATATATTCAAAAATTAATACATGAAAAAAAGGAAGAGGAAGAAGGGAAGGAGCAGCAAGTACATTTGCCACTTTGAGGCCAAGAGTATTAGAGGGCACTTGAAGAGGATTCAGTGTTGTCATGATTCACTGTAACTATGCTGGAACTCTCCATTTTTGCCTTCTGTTGCTCAAGTCCTTGACAGCGACACCCATTTCTGATCTCGGGCCCTCTTTCTGCCAAGGATAGAGTACCACAACACAAAGATGATGGAGTCAGGGCTCAGTGAGTTAGCCTCCTTCCACACAAGGGCTCTCAAGACGCGTCTTCCGGAGTGGGAGAAGGGGCAAGGGCGTGGCTGCTCTTTCCAGAATTTTCTTCTCAGAGAGCACTCAGCGGAAAGACGGTCAGGACAGCGCCATCCCAGCCTGGCGTAGTCCTCAGTCAGTCCCCTCCTCACGGATCCTTCTACCCCTAGAGCTCCTTCCTAACAAGCCCTTTCCACACCTAGGCTCCCAAGGCGGCACCTCACCGCCTCAGAGCCCGACGTCCCAGCCTTGGCACACCCGGAGCACCCCGACCCTCCCATCCTCAACTTCTCACAGCCTTACCCGACTCCGCATCCCCCCAGCACGCAGACAGGAAGATCATTACCACATGTGCCCAGACCCTGGAGTGCCCCCAACTCAGGCCTAAATCTCCTCATCCGGTAATTCTTCCCTCAGACTCGGTTGCCCAAATCCCTCAAAGCTGGGGTTACCCGGCCCCCCAACCATGTAGCCCTCTTCCTGACCCACTACGCGCCCCCCCTTCGCCCTCTGGGCTGTTTCGGTGTTGCTGGCACTCCCGTCAGGGTGGCCTCCGTACCATATCGGGGGTCTTGCGGCCGGCGGGTAGACGCGCGACCCGACCACTAACGGCCCGCGGGAGCGCGGCGGCGCGCGCGGGGCGGGGCCTGGCCCGGGGGCGGGGCCTGGCCCGAGGGGCGGGGCTTGGAGCGTCAGGGGCGGTGAGCGGTGGGCGGGGATGGCGGAGCAGTGGGATCTGGACGAGGAGGGCATCCGCCGCCTGGGGGCGCTGAGCCTGGAGCAGACGGGTAGGACCAGGCAGGGAGGTCTCCGGCAGGGAGCTTGGGATGAGAACTGGAGGTGGGGGACCCGCGGAGGTGCGGTCCTGAGGAGGGGGCGAACGGTGTGGCCAAGGAGGGAGAAACTGAGGCAGCAGAGGTGCCACTAGAGAAGGCGGAGGAACTGAAGTAACGGGAGTCAGGGCGGGAAGGGGTCTGGGGAGGCTGCCACAGAATACAGGGGGCAGACAGGGGCACTCTATGAATGGGGACACAGGAGGAGTTGAGGCCCAAGGGCGTTGATGGTGGTAGTTCAAGAAGCTACCTCCTCAGGAGCGCTTTTCCTGGTTGGAGGAAGTGGGAAAGGACACTTGTTATCATCCAGCTGCCACATCAAGAACTTGACCATGTCTTCGACCCATCTAGATGGTTGGCTTCTTTTCTAAGGGGTTGGGGGCTAATGTAATTGCTAGTGTCCCAAGTCCTGATTTCACCCTGGAGGTGACCCGGAGCTAAAAGAGTGCCTGCGGACCCTGCTTTACTGTGCCTCTGGCAGACTAACCTGCCCTTTGAAAGTCCAAGAGTAAACATGTGGGGAAAGTTAGCAACAGAGGGAAAAGTTGTGAATTTGTTGCTCACTGTCCCATTCGTTACTGCCGTGCTTTCTCCGGCGTTATTTCCTTCCCATAACAAGCCTATTAGACAGATATTGACCCCATTTTACAGATTAGCAAGATCAAGTGGAGATTCTTGGCCAAAATGATACAGCTGACAAAATGACACAGCCAAGGGCTCAAAAACCCAGGATTTAGGTTTCAGGGTCTGTGCCCCAAGCGTGACAAAGAGAGACCTCTCTTGTATCCTCTAGTACAAGTTTGATAATCAGGGTACTAATTACTAATGTTTCCGCTCTTTCTGGAACATGCCCCTACCCAGAGCTGACTAAAGATAATGACAGGAGGCATGCATCTGTAAGTTGGCAGAGAACTTTCATCCTGTCCACTCTGAGTTCTCTCTTTCCTTTTCCCAATTTGTTTTCCTAGAAATTCTGCAGTTCTGCTTTTCACCTTTAATGTATCTGTAGTTCACTTTTGTCCACGATATGTGATATCACTGTATAAGAATTTTTAATATTAATATCCAACTCCGTTTTAGTTTTCTGTTTGTCTTCCTGTACCGATCTGACATTTTTGTCATGACTGTGGCATGACAGCATGTTGTGATACTGGGTAAAGTCAGCCCCATTCCTCCTTTTTACCTCTCCTGCTAGGAAGTATGTAAGCCTCGTGTTCTTTCTTTTGTAATAGCCACTGAATAAATCACCTGTATACACTGTTTAAGAGATTGTACTTTTTGTACATAGACTGTTAAAGAGGTTGTACAAGATGGTACTTTTCTAATCATTGCTTTCTTTTTCATTGGCTGTAGTACTTCTATGTGTAGAAATTTACTAGCATCAACTATTTGGTTATCCTTAGACACAGTTTGTGAAGGACACAGTATAAAAACCTAACTTTTTTTTTTCCACTTTATTTGCCATTTTTGCAGATAGCCACTTGTTTTCTTAGCTTCCCTCAAAGATGACCAGGGAGGGTTGTTTTGTTTTCCCACTCTGATTACTCATGTAAATTCATTGATTTACACATGTCTCATGTGTTCTAATCCATTACATTTATAGTCATGGTGAATGCCTAACTGATTTCAACTTTAACTACTGGGAGCTCTTGTAAGTTAACTCCCAAAGGCTTTTTTTCACCTAGATATTATAATTATTTCTAACTTTCATTGTCATAAGCCAGCTGTATTAGAGGTCATTAATTCAACTTTCAAATGAATTGTAACTGGTATAGAGAGAATGCTTATTTTCATGAATAGAACAAAAATTTTCCTATTTGGGATTATTTAACCTTATCTATAAAAATTGGAAAATCGTTGTCTTGTTCTTAACATCTGTGTTTGATTTGTCCTCTGATCTGTCTTCATTCTTTATAACACTGAAACCAAATGCATAGCCACTTATCTGTCCTTGTGGCCCTTTATCATGTGAATGTTAATTCTCTTTCTCTTTAAAAATGCTACAGAAAGGAGTGCTGTGGTACAGCAGGTTAAGCTACTTCTTGGGCAGGTTACATCCCAGATCCGAGTGCTTGGGATCAAGTCCTGTCTCTGCTTCTGATCCAGTTTTTTATTCCTGGGCATCTGGAGAAGCACTAGATGATGGCTCAGGTGCTTGGCCCCTGAGAGATTCCTGCTCCCAGTTCAACCTGGCCAGCCCTGCTATTGTAGGCATTTAGGAAACCATGAGAAGGCAGGTTGATGAACGCCCTCCCCCACCCTCTCTGTCACACTGTCTTTCAAATAAACAAACATTTAAAAAAATAAAAGTTACAATGTCCCCTCCTCAAAATAAACAACAGTAAAAGACATGAGAAAGGAAATGTGATTGTCGTTAGCTTTTGTCACTTGGTAACAGACTTTCAGAGTATTAGATCATTGCATACCACTGAACCAACAACATATTGTCCTCCACGTTTGAAAGATATGTTGCATTTTAAAAATAAAGATAATTCACATACTCTAAAAATCACCCATTAAAAGTATACGATTCAGAGTCACTTAGCACATCCCCAGTGTTGTGCAATCATCACTACTGTTTAGTTCCAGAACTAAACATTAGCCAGTCATCCTTCATTTCCCACGCCCCCTCACCCCTGGCAAGCACAGAACTGCTTTCTGTCTCTATGGCTTTGCCTCTTCTGGATAGTTCATGTACGGAGAATCATAGTTTCAGTCCTTGTCCATCTGCCTTCTCCATCATGTTTCAAGATGTATCCATTCTGAACATAGTGTCAGCAGGGTGAGACCTGGAAAGCCCTCTGAACTGAGCAGGAACCCCTTCTGTGTAGAAGGAAGGTCCATATAAGAAGATGAGAGTTTACTAGGGAAACTCAGATGCAGGGTTTCCACCCTGGGCAGCAGGGAGTGTGGGCACAGCTGCAGCCAGCCCAAGATTTCATGCTTGGGAGCCAGGGATCTGACGCTTATGTCACATTTCGTTGCTGGTCTCTAGGAGTAAGCCCTTAGGCTGCTAACTGGATTGTCCTACTCTATCTGAAAAGGCCCTGCTACCTTCTGAACTATAGCTAGGAATGACAGGTAGTCAGCAAGATGGTGATGTTGTGATTTACTGTTGAACAATCAATACTTTATTCTTTTTTTAAAAAAAAAGATTTTTTTTTAAGTTTTTTTTTTAAAGGTTTTAGGTCTATAGAAAACTTGGACATGAAGTACAGAGTTCCCATACATCCTTTTCCCCCTCTCTCACATCTTCTCCTTATCTCTACCCACAGCTTCCTCTATTGTTGATACGTTGTAATAGTATGGTACTTTTGCTGTACTTGATGATTCAATATTGCTACATTAACTAGAGCCCTTAGTTTGTTTTAGGGTTTACTCTTTATGCTGTGCAGGTCAACGGATTCTAACAAATGTAGGTGCTGAGTCCGCCATCATTGTCTCAAATAGACAATTTAGACACTGTCCTAAAAATCCTCAGTGTCCCATGTCTTCTTTCTCTCATCCCAACCCCCAAACAGCCACTGATCTTTTCACTGTTTCCTTTTTCAGAATGTGAAACCACTTTATGAGTGTACATCAGGAAGTTCAGGGAAAAGCGAAATTAAAAGTATGAGTTTATTTCAGCAGGAAATATTTTTAAATATATGTAATATTTCTACATAATTCTCATATGTGTTTTTAAAATAGGTTTATTTGCTTGAAAGGCAGAGTTAGAGAAAACTTAAATCTGCTAGTTCACTCTCCATCCAAATGGCCACAAGCCAGGCCAAAGCCAAGAGCCTAAATTTCCATCAGGGTCTCCTATATGGGTGTCCTTTCTTCTGTTTTCCCAGACCCATCAACAGGGAACTGGATCGTAACTTTTGGCAATCATAAATAAAATTACTGTAAATATTTGCATGTAGGTCTTTGTATGGACATAAAGTCTCAAGTCACTTTTGTAAATACCAAGGGACACGAGTACCAGACCAACTAGTAAGTTATGTTGGACATTTGAAGAATCCACCAAAGTGTCCTCTAAGATAGCAGAGCTGTTTTGTATTCTCACTAGCATTAGGTTAGAGAATCTGATGCCCCATATCCTCCCAATTTAACATTGTCACTGTTTCAGATTTTAACTATTCTAATTACTGTGTAGTGGTATCTTATTAGTTTAATTTCTAATTTCCTAATGACTTACAAAGTTGGGCTTTTTCATGTTTACCATGTGTTTGTCTTTTATTGGTGAAGTGTCTGTTCAAATCTTTTGCTCATTTTTGGATTGGATTGTGTTTTTATTGTTGTGTTTCAAGGATTCTTTGTATATTTTGGATATTAGCTCTTTGTCACAGCATATGTTTTACAAATATTTTTGGTCTGTGGCTTATTTTTTTATCCTCTCCACACTGTCTTTCCTTTTAGGGAGAAACCTAAAATTTTAGTGGCATCCAACTTCTCAAGTTTGTTTTTCTTTCACAGGTGTGCCACTTTTTTAAAGATTTATTTTATTTTTATTGCAAAATCAGATATACAAAGAGGAGGAGAGACAGAGAGGAAGATCTTCTGTCTGATGATTCATTCCCCAAGTGACTGCAACGGCCAGTGCTGCGCCAATTTGAAACCAGGAGCCAGGAACCTCTTCCAGGTCTTCCATGCAGGTGCAGGGTTGTAAGGCTTTGGGCCATCCTTGACTGCTTCCCAGGCCACAAGCAGGGAGCTGGATGGCAAGTGGGGTGCCAGGATTAGAACCGGCACCCATATGAGATCCTGGTGCATTCAAGGCGAAGAGTTTAACTGCTAGGCCACTGTGCCAGGCCACACAGGTCACTTTTGATATTATATTAACAACTTTTACCAAACCTAAGGTCACCTAGATTTTCTGTTGTGCTATATTCTAGAAGATTTACAGTTTTATTTTGTGTTTTTAAATATGTTGGAAGTCCTGGATTTATACTGAGCACCTTTTTAAAGGTTTTTTTTTTAAAGGATTCATTTATTTTCATTTGAAAGGCAGATACACAGAGAGGAGAGACAGAGCAAAAGATCTTCCACCTGCTGGCTCATTCCCCAAATGGCCACAGTGACCAGAGCTGAGCAGATCCAAAGCCAGGAACCCCTTCCAGGTTTCCCACCTGGATGCAGGGTCCCAAGAACTTAGGTTATCCCTGTCTGCTTTCCCAGGCCATAAGTAGGAAGCTGGATAAGAAGTGGAGCAGCTGGGGGCCCGGCGAGGTGGCCTAATGGCTAAAGTCCTTGCCTTTATCTAGCCAGGCTCCCATATGGGCTCCGGTTCTAATCCTATCAGCCCCATTTCCCATCCAGCTCCCTGCTTGTGGCCTGGGAAAGCAGCTGAGGATGGCCCAATGCCCTGGGACCCTGCACCTGCATGGGAGACCCAGGAAAAGCTTCTGGCTCCTGGCTTCAGATTGGCTTAGCTCCGGCCTTTGCGATCACTTAGGGAGTGAATCATTAGATGGAAAATCTTCCTCTCTGTCTCTCCTCTCTGTATATCTGACTTTGCAATAAAAATAAATAAATCTTTAAAAAAAAAAAAAAGTGGAGCAGCTGAGACACGAACTAGCATCCATATGGAATGGCAGCACTTAACAGTAAAGGATTAGCCAATTCAGGCTTTGCAGCAGCCAAAATTTACTTTATTTATTTGAAAGTCAGAGTTAGTTAGAATGAGAGGGAAAGACAGAGACACATCTTCCATCCATATGATTCACACACTTTCAGTGTGTGTGTGTATGGAAATCCAGTTATTTTAGAATAACTTATTGAAGAACTATCCTTTTTCCTTGGATTCACCTTTGCTCTTTTGTTGAAGATCAATGGACTGTGTTGGTGGGGACCTACTTCTGATCTCTCTAGTCTTTTTAACTGATCTATTTGTTGTCTTTTTTTTCGCATCATCACATTGTCTTGATTCCGGAAGCTCAGTGATGCGAGTTGAGGTTGAGCAGGAGCACCCCCTAAGATTTTCTTCTTCAGCATTATGTTGATTACTCTGGGTCTTTTGCTTTTCTCTATAATCCTTCCTTTTCGTGGCTGAATAACATTCCGTCTTGAGTATATACTTACATCTTGCTCATCCACTCATCTGTTGTTAGACATTTGTTTCTTCTTTGGATGTTGTGATTTATGGTAGTATAAACATTTGTTTATAAATTTTTGCTTGAGCATTTGTTTTCCATTCTTTTGGCTTTTCTCCTGGGAGTAGAATTGCTGGGTCATCTGGTAATTCTATATTTAGCTTACTGAAGAACTGCCAGGCTGTTTTTCATAGCAGTTGACATTCTCTCCAGCAATGCAAGGGAATTCCAATTTCTCATCCTTCTCACCAATGCAAAACTTTCCCCTTGCTGTAAGATTGTTATTATTATAGCCTTGGTGGTACGCATGGAGTGGTTCTGTGCTTTTGGCTTGCGTTTTCCTAAAGAGGGATCACTTATTTTTCTATTTTTAAGGTCTGGAGCTCCCTTCTCTTTCGTGTTCACAAATACTAACAGATAGGACAGCTGCCTGACGTCTGCCACCTGCTTTCCTCTCCACTTACATTACTGTCCTTGTTGCATTTTGTGTGGACTCTACCACCTTGTCTCCAACAGGATTTCAGTTTGTAACTCTGAAGGACTTATAGGGCCCAGACTTGAGAGGCAGTCCCTGCCACTCACCTGCAAACTGCATCCTATAGAACCTCCCTCCAGTTTTGTGCACTATGCTGTTTGATCCACCATGCTTGCCACTAATGGGAATTTTCAAATTCTCTTTGTTTCAGTGCTGTGAGATATTTAGCTGACTTTCCGCTTTCATACACATGTATGTACTCATTTTTCTTTTTACAGTTATATACCATATGTGTGTATTTCTATCATACTATCTTGGAAATTTTTCCATTGAATATCTACGAATCTCCCACATTCTTGTTAATGCTTACATAACAGCAGTTAACAGTGTTAACTCAGCATGTGTCAAATATTATCCTGATTTTTTTATGCATTTTAACTCAATCGTTATAGCACCTTGAGTTAAGTACTGTTATAATCTGTGTTTTACAGATAAGGAAATCGATGCTCAGAGATCTAGCACATACTCTTGTGTCTTTAGGCTATTTCTGTTCTCCTACTGATGCGCATTTTGATGATTGCGTCTTTTTTTTCTATCTTAAAATCTTTCTGAAATTGACATCCTTGCCCTATACACATCCCAGGAAAATGGTATAAGTATTATCTGTAAAGATAAACCCTAGCAGTGATATTGCTGAATTTTTTTTTTGAATGGTGTCTTAAGAACTTTCAGAAACTTTTACTATATTCTCCAGATAATTAGTGAAACTGAAGGGTTCTACAAAACTAAGGTTTGCTATCAGGATGGTAGACCAAATTGATGCTTTTAGAAAAGAGGCTTTACAAATGAGATATGGGGGAAAGAAGAGTGACTTTCATGGACAATCTGCTGTTATCTAAGCAGAGATTGTAATGTATCTACTGATGATCTCTTTTCAGAACTGGTGGAGTCTCTTTCCTTACAGGGATCTTACGCTGGAAAAATCCATTCCATCGGTGATGCCTTCAGAAACTTTAAAAATCTCAGATCCTTAGATTTATCAAGGAATTTGATCACTAGCCTAAAGGTAAATTCTATACTTTATGACCAATCAGACCAGTCCAATTTGTTTTTTGTTAGAAAGAAATAGGAGATAGAAAACAATATTAGCCTTGGGGGATAGAGTCTTCCTTTGAAATGCTTCTTAATTAAATTTATTACTTATCAAAACCTCCTTTCAGCTTTGCTCTGTGTAAAATTATTTATTATAAAATATCAGGGACTAGTCTTCCTGCACCCATGGAAAAATATCACATGGAAAGCTGTCATTGCCTAGGGCAATAGTAAAACTTTCCTGTGTGTGTATTCAAAAATTATGAGTTCTTGTGGAAGCACAGATTTGTGGTCCCTACCCTGAGAGGTGGCCTGAGTTAGGAGGTCTGGGTGGGGAGTGAGGACACATCCCAGAACTTGCAAAGATGGCGTCCCCCAGAACAGCGTGAAGAAGGGCTAGCCTGCGCTGTTAACTGTGGGTTTCTTTTAGGCGATGGAGGAAGTGACTGTCTAAAAAGAAAAATGTCCCAGTCAGGGGATGGTGGCACCAGGGCAGGACTGGAAAGTGGGAAAAAGCAGCTTGCACAGTGTGCAAGGGCCAGCAAACAGGAGGACACTCAGAGAAGGCCTTTGTCTCCTTTGTGGAGGACCCCCAAAGGGTGTTGCTTCATGTGTCCCCATTTCTGTTCCTCAAAGTGTCCGTGCCCTTCTTTGGGAGATCAAAGATGACTGACAGATACACTTTGCTATAGCCCAGGATCCGTTAACAATGCCCTAGGCTGTCTTGACCCAATCTCAAGGTCCAAAAGCCCCCCCACCCAAAGGAAGCCCAAGCAAGATTAAACTTTCAACTAAAACATTACAAGCCACAGCTCCAAGTTGAGCTAGTTCTTTAGATTCTGTATTTGGCTCCTTAGGTTCCGGAAGTATTAGTTTGCCTAGGTCTCCTTTTTTTCATATGTGTACGTGTTTGTTACTTTTCAGGATTAAAAAAAATGAAGTGGACATTGCTATAATTTGTTTTCCCACTTCTGTAAATTGGGTAAAAGATTGTTGTGAAGAGTAACCTAATTAATTCATGTAATCAGATATGACATAAGACATGGTGTTTGGCAGATGAAGTGTTCAGCAAACTTTAATTTTTCTACACTTTTTGGCAGTTTTTTATCTCCACATATTCATTTCAAGACATCAGATTCATTTTGCCTAATTTTTCCAGAACAAGAACATTTTGTCAATTATTTCTCATGTAAACTTTAGGAATGCTTGGATTCATGCCAATTGGTGAAAATGAGAGGAAGACAAAAGTTGTTTCCTTGATTTTTACACTGACAGACATTTAAAGATTACTTGACCTGCATTATAAGATAAATTAAAGGCAATCCAATGATGCATTTGAGAGCAAGATCAAAAATCCCAATAATTATTTCTAACCTCTGATCCTTTAATAATATGGAAATTACTGGCTTTTGAAAAAAATGAAAACCAGAAGAAAGATAGCAAAATATAAATGAGGTTCTATTTAGGAATGTTTTACATACATTTCTTTGAGTTTTTCTGAACTCTTGCAATGAGAAAATAGTAATTTTAAATAAGAGAATAGCATTATCTTATAAATACATGCTAGAAAATAATTTCATCTTCCTGAATAATGCTCAATGACATAGTTCTTGTTTTCTTTTTTAGAAATTTACTAATTTTGAAAGTTAGTCACGGGGCCCAGCACAATAGCTCAGTGGCTAAATGCTCACCTTGCATGCACCAGGATCCCAAATGAGCACCAGTTTGTGTCCTGGGTACTCCACTTCCCATCCAGCTGCTGCTTGTGCCCTGGGAAAGCAGTGAAGATGGTCAAGAGCCTTGTTTCCCTGAGTTCCTTTGGGAGACCCAGAAGAAGCTCCTGGTTCCTGGATTCAGATCTGCTCAGCTCTGGCTGAGCAACTAATGGAAGATCTTTCTATATTAACTTCTCCGTAAATCTGCCCTTCCAATAAAAAATAAATACATATATATTTTAAAATCTTTTAAAAAGAAAGAAAAAGAAACTCAGTTACAAAGAGAGGAGAGCCAGAGAGAGAAAAAAGCTCTTCCATCTGCTGTTTTACTCCCCCCATGGCCACAATGGCCAGCCAAAACCAGTAGCTTTGTCTGGGCCTCCCATATGGGTGGCAGGGGCCCAGATACGTGGGCCATATTCTGCTGCTTTTCCAAGGCCATTAGCAAGGAGCTGGGTCACAAGTGGAGCAGCCAGGACATGAAGTAGCTTCCGTAAGTCTGGCTGGCTTCATGGGCAGTGGCTTTCCTCAGTATACCACTAAACACACAAATAGAGAAAACTAAGCAGGGAAGAACATTTCTAGCAAGCATGGGAGTTTGCATGATGGCAGGGACTCTGCAAAGGAAAAACAAGGACAAAGGGATCCCCAACAGGTCCGAGGAGGCAGACTTGGAGATGTTTTATTTCCCTAAATAGGTCATTGACTTTGTAAGTGAGGCATTAAGATATGAGGATATCCTTTCTGCCCACCCCCACACACACACACACACACACACACACACACACACTTGTTTTTTTCCAATTGTGTCCTCCTCTAGAACTAGCTATTAGTCATAATTTCTTGCTTTTTATAAATTGAGATCCTTAGGGAATTGAGAGAGTGGTTAAGTGGGAGAGAGGCAGAAGCAGCTTCATTCCCACCAGAAAGGACTGGATTGGGAGAATGACGGGGGAGCCAACAGAAATAGCCAATTGCTGATACTTGGCTGTTAGGTTTTGTAGAAGAGAATGGAATATGCAAACTATTTAATATCTAACTATTTAATATCTAAGACTCCCCAGGGCCCAGGACTCTTATTCACAAGCAACTGCAGGGAAACTAGGTCATTCTTGGGTGAGTAAGGTAACATGCATAGGAATGAGTCCTCACCGACATGCAGTTTCATAATGTGGTCTTTTCCTTGCAGGGCATCCAGTATTTATGTTCACTCCAAGACCTCAATTTATATTATAACAACATTCCTTCATTAGTGGAGGTATCGCGCCTTCAGCCTTTACCCTTCCTCAAAGAACTAGATTTGAGACTCAATCCCGTCGTAAGAAAAGACACAGATTATAGGCTCTTTGCTGTGTACACGCTACAAACACTGGAGAAACTGGGTGAGATCCCCTGTTCCTTGCCCGCCCGGAATCTTCCTTTAGAACAGCTCTCCTCTTAACCTTTGGGTGTTGGTCCGGAGTGTGCACTTGCAGGATCTCTTTGTTTATTAGTCAATATTTATGTAACTCTTGTGTGTTGGCAGGATGTATGACCAGTTCCTTTATTGTTTACTGAATGACAACCTACGATTTTATCAGTTACTTCCAGCTTTAGTTTTCTTCAGCTGATGGTTTCACCACCACTTCCTCTTCAGTGCAAAAGTTCCAGACTGAGGCGTATTTTTTTCCAGGTGCCTCAGTCTTGCCCACTGTGTTAACGATAGGAAAATAGTACAGTAGCTCTCTGGGGAACAGGGGTGGGGGTTGTTTAGTGGACTAAGAACAAGAAATGTTTCTTCCAATGAACTGGCTTCCAGTTCCTTATCATTTTATTGCTGAGCCTACATCTCTTTCTGATATGAAATTTCATTGCACAGCCCTAGGAAACTCATCATGGGGAAAGTAGTTGAGCTGTGTGACTGCCAAGCCTCTCGCTAGGCCCTCTGGGTGGTTGGCTGTCCAAGTTCTGCTTTCCTGAAAGGGGTAATCACACCTGTGTGGCCGTGGTTGCTACAACATCCCTTAGTCTCCCGGAGTTACCGCTGGCTCGAGGGACAACACAATGGCATGATTTGGTGACCTCTCTCTGACACCCACAGACTGCTCCCTAATTCTTTTCCTCTGTAAATATCTTTTTTCTGAGCCACTTCCAAAAAGGCGTGTGTTCAGACCACTAATTTTGCCTCCAGATGACCGAACTGTCCGTGAAAGTGAGAGAAAAGCTGCTAAGCTGCATTTCAGTCAGTTGGGCAACAGTGAGAATTTTCTGTTAGAGGTGGAAAAAAGGTAAGACAACTTTCACATCCTCTTTTAGTTTGGTTCTTAACACAGCCAATGGTGATTCCCTGCTTACCACTCTTCAACTTGCAGCAGAAGGCTCTAAGAATCCCCCTGGGTCAAGGATAGTTGTATTAATTGTGCACCCCAGATTTTCCTCTGGGCTGAGAGACTGGCCCTAAGTGGGCCCCTGTTGTGCTTTCTTGAAGTATTGACTCTGCTCTGGGTATAGTTGCTGTAAAGCTTCCAAAGGCTTATGGCTAGAGCTGCTAGGAGATAACCTGACCCCGTACATGCTGACCAACCTTTCCTGTTAGTTACCAGTCAGTACATGGTCATCTCCTGTTGACTTGGGTGGATGACAGTACCCTGGACAAGGTTGTTAGAAGGTGAGGAAGCATGTCTCTATCAATAGAAATTAAACAGATCTTGAGGCTCTGGAGTTTTTTTTTTTTTCTCCTTTCTCGTTTCTAAAATCCTACTGAAAGGAGGTAGCATATTTTGTACCCCAAACTCTGCTTTAAAAAAAAGTAGTTTTATTATTTTTGAAAAATAGAGGCCCATTACAAATTAAAGTACACAGAGAGGTTGGGGTTGTGGCTCAAGAGATTAAACCACTGACTTGTACGCCCACATTCCATGTCAGAGTGCCAGTGCGAGTCCCTGCTTTTCCACTTCTGATGAAGGTGATGATGATTCAATTGCTTGGGCCTTTACCACCCACGTGGAGACCCACATGGAATTCCAGGCTCTTGGGTTCTCTTAGCCCAGCCATGCCTATCAGATGCGTTTGGGGAGTGAGCTAACAGAAGGAAGCCCCTTCTCTGTGGTTCTCCCAAGTAGTTGAAAATAAAGAAACATTAACAGCAACAGAAAGATTTGAGGAGGTCAGCATTGTGGTGTAGTGGGTTATACTAACTGCAATGCCTTCACTGGTAACCCATACGTTACCAAGTCCCAACTGTTCCACTTTCTGTCCAGCTCCCTGTGAATTTACCTAGGAAAGCAGTGGAGGACTGGGTCCCTGCACCCACGTGGAAGATTTAGAAGAAGCTCCTGGCCTTGTCCAGGATCAGCACAGGCAGTTGTGGGAGTGAACCAGTGATTGGAAAGACCTCTCTCTCTTTCTTTATCCCTGTCTGCCCCCTCCATTGTCACGTTGCTGTTCAAATGAATAAATCTTTAAAAATAAAAAGACTAGGGCCCAGCGCAGTGGCGCAAGTGGTTAAAGGTCCTCGCCTTGCACACCCGGGATCCCATATGGGCGTCGGTTCTAATCCCGGCAGCCCCGCTTCCCTTCCAGCTCCCTGCCTGTGGCCTGGGAAAGCAGTCAAGGACGGCCCAAAGCTTTGGGAACCTGCACCCGCGTGGGAGACCCGGAAGAGGCTCCTGGCTTCGGATCGGCATAGTATCGGCCGTTGCGCTCACTTGGGGAGTGAATCATCGGACGGAAGATCTTCCTCTCTGTCTCTCCTCTCTGTATACCCGCCTTTCCAATGAAAAAATAATAAAAATAAATCTTTAAAAAAAATAAATAAAAAGACTAGAGGACAATTGCACTTTCTTCCTCTTAAAAAGATAATTACACAGATCATCACACTAAGAAATGTTAAAAAATCACTCCAAATCCCGCTACAAAGAATTAAGCACTTTGAATGTTTGGTGTAATCCTTCTAGACACCTGCATACTATAGACATAAACAGATGTATGTATTACTATTTTTTTAATGATGAATAAATATAGGCTTATTGTTGGAAATTTAGAAAACATAGGGAACTATACAGGAATAAAATAAATCATAATTTTATTTTATTTTATTCCTATATAGTTCCCTATGTTTTACTCATGGATTTTTTTAAACATTATGTAAATGCTCTTCTAGTTTTGCTATATGTATATACAAATATACCTGTATGCTTTATAAGAATCTGTTTCCTATACATTTTTAATTTAACAAGCTATTATGAACATATCCTCATACTTTCCAATCTCCAGGATTAAATGTTTAATTTTTTAAAAAAGATTTATTTGAAGGGCAGAGTGTCAGAGAGAGGGGTAGAAGGAAAAGGAGGCAAGAATAGGTGAGGAAATGGCGAGAAGGAAAGGGAGGAGAGCTTTTGTTGACAGCCCATTCTCCAGATGATGACAACAGGTAGGTCTGGGCCAGGGCAAATCCAGGATCCAGAAAATCCATCCAGGTAACCAATGTTGGCAGCAGGATCAAAAGTGCCTGAGCCATCCCACCCAGGAGCCACTGCCTCCCAGGCACATGAAGAGGAAGGACTCAATTTTAGCAAACTGACTAGATGCAGGCATCCCTAACAGGGCCTTAATCTGCTACGCCACAATGTCTGCCCTTGGGTGAAGTTATTTTAAATCTGAGTCCGGTTTCCCTACTTATTAAGTGAATAATAAGCTAATATAATATAATAGCTAATGGGGGGATTTTGTATGTAAGCAAAATGAGAAATGTAAGAACCTGGCACAGAGTCAGCTTCCAGAGCTTACTGTTGTTCTCAAGGTACCTACCTTAGTCAAATGCAAATATGTGACATTCTTTTTTTAAAGATTTACTTATTATTTTATTGGAAAGTCAGTTCTACAGAGAGAAGGAGAGACACAGAGAGAGATTGTCCATCACTGACTCATCTCCCAATTGGTTGCAAGGGCAGAACTGAGATTTGAAGCCAGGATTTTCTCTTGGGTCTCTCATGTGGGCTCACGCTCCCAAGGTTTTAGACCATCCTCTTACTGCTTTCCCAGGGCACAAACTGGGAACTGGTAGGGAAGTGGAGCAGCCAGGACATGAACTGGTTCCCAAATGGGATCCTGGTGCACTCAAAGTGAGGATTTTAGTTGCTAGGCTATTATGTCGGACCCAGTACGTACCATTCTTGTCTGTTTTCCTATTAATGGCTACAATTGGCTCCACAGTAATCTGGGGGAGTAGAGATGTTCTTTCTGTGCTATAGCTATGAGTATCATAATTCAAAGGAAAATATTTTTCTCCTTCCGTAATTCAGACCTAAGTTTATGGCTAAGTTCTGAATCTTCTTGCTTTCACAATTCAAAGGTGGATCTTCAGGACCCAGCTCTCTCATCATTCCTCGTGCAAATATTATGACTTCCAGAATGGCTCTGGCTGAAATATTTGTGAAACATTGTTAGATTAATATGTTCTAGGGCATTTGGGGAAAATTATAAGAATGTTTTAATTCTAAATAAATTGTTCTGTGTGGCAGCTCTAGGGAAAAGTTGACAAAAAACTGTGCAACAGACGAGGGCTCTCCATCCAAGGCCGGTGCTGATGTTGACAGCAGGATTGAAACAGGTGAGCTTTCTCTCTGTCATCATCAAATAACAAAGATGCCAGTTGTCTCAGCTGTCACAGCCCATCCTCAGTAAGATGTAGCAAAGTCCTTATGAAAGCACTGATTTGCTGAAGATTTTCCAGCTGTGTTTTTCCTGCTTTCTCCCGCCATCAGGCCTGGGAGGACCATGTTTGGCAGGTCTGACCCAGTATCCTTCAAAGCACAAGCTGTACTCAACAGTTCGGTTTCATTGATGTCAGTTTGCTTCCTTTGTACACCCTTAAAGTGCGCTGCCAGGGGCCACAGGTTCTGAAACATCGGCGAGGTAATTGCTTTAGTCAGAGACTGAAGACTCCTCAGCAACAAAGCAGTTCATGCCCTAAATCTCCTTGGCTTCCCCATCAAGGCCCATTGCAGAATCCCATCTTTGCACTATTTCCCATAAGCACTGTTGTCGATCCAATTAGATCAAAGTGCTCATGCCACTGGCTAGAAGACAGCCCTCTGCTGGAAATGTGTTGTCCTTCTGGATTAATCTGGCACTCTCACATTAGGTCAGTCAGGGGACTTTTTTCTTTAACTTGAGAAAACTGTGTCCTTGGAAGGATCTACAGAACCTCCATAAGCTCTAAAAATCAATCTCTATAATCTCAACAATAGCTTTAACCGATTGCGTCTGTCATATAGCCACTGAGGATTTTCAGTTTAAAACTAATACAATATTCTGTTTTCTTAACTTCTTATCTACCCACATGGACATTTACTGACAAGTCATTGTCATGTTATTTCAGGGTAAAATAAGCCACAGTGAGGAGTGATTCTAATTTCCTTTCTTGGGGGTTGGTGCTGTGGCATTGTAACTTAAGCCTATGCTATTGATGCTGGCATTCCACATGGGCACTGGTTCAAGTCCTACCTGCTCCACTTCTGATCTAGTTCCTTGCTAAGGCACCTAGGAAAGCAATGGAGGATAGCTCAAGTCCATGGGCTACTGCACCCATCTGGAAGACCCAGAAGCAGCTCCTGGCTCCTGGCTTCCAACTAGCCCTGCTCCAACCATTGCTGCCATTTAGGGAGTAAAGTAGCAGATGAAAGATCTCTTTCTGTGTCTTTTGTTCTCTCTCTGTAAATCTGCCTCTTAAATATTTTTTTTCAAATTTCTCTCTCTCTCCTTTTTTTTAGATTTATTTATTTTTTTTAAAAGATTTATTTTTATTATTTTTTCATTGGGAAAGGCAGATATACAGAGAGGAGAGACAGAGAGGAAGATCTTCCATCCGATGATTCACTCCCCAAGTGAGCACAACATCCGATGCTATGCCGATCCGAAGCCAGGAGCCTCTTCTGGGTCTCCCACACGTGTGCAGGGTCCCAAGGCTTTGGACAATCCTCCACTGCTTTCCCAGGCCACAAGCAGGGAGCTGGATGGGAAGTGGAGCTGCCGGGATCAGAACTGGCACCCATATGGGATCCCAGCGTGTTCAAGGCGAGGACTTGAGCTGCTAGGCCACAGCGCTAGGCCTCAAATTTCTCTCTTCTATGTCTTATATGTCCAAGTTTGTAATGGAATAAAGTTTTTTCTATTTTTAACATAGATGCAATTTGATTGTAACAGTTTTGGAAAGCACTAAAAAGCATGAATAATAGCACTTTAATCACCCACAAGCCCATCCCCTAAGAGAATCCCAGGGAACCTCCAATGTACAGCCCAGTTTTTTTTTTTCTGCCCAAGATATATTTATATAGCCACTTGCAGAGAAAAACACATTGAAGTTTAATTTGCACCTTTTTGTATGAGCTGATTCTGACTTCATGTCTGTCACATCACCATCATACAGATCCACGCTGTGAATTAGAGTAGGCCTTGCAATGCCCAGTTCTGCTGAGAACAAACTGTTCCACTAGACAGAAGGCCGTCTCTAAACAGTCTAACAATCGCCAGCTGTTGTCTGTGTTTTTTTTATACCAAATTGATTTTGCGACTTTGGAACGTTAAAGAGCTTTGTTTTCCACTGGAAACTGGATTTGTGCTCAGGTTCCCTTGGAGTATTGGCCATAAACACCAGTGGCAATTCAATATGGTTAACATGGTGACACCTTGTTAACAGCCATGTCACAGGCTGGAAGGACACTTTGTAGAACCAGTTCCCACTGTGACTTCCTGCCAGTCATTCTGAGTAGGCGGGAACCACCACTGATCCAGATCTTTCTGCTATTCTTGCCATGTAATCCTTGACTCTTGCAAGGACTCCGCTCTTCCCACACGCCCAAAATAAGCACAACTGGGTTTTGTTTTCTCACTCTCCTGTCTCTATACCTTGCCCTAGATAGTCTCAGTAGAACTGGGCACTGCAAGGCCTACTCTAATTCAAATCAGCTGTGAGTTTAACTACCATTTGTATGTCAGTTGTTTTTTTTTTTTTTTTCACATGCACATTTAAGGATCTTTTCCTTATGTTCAATTGAAGAGAGCTTAATTATCATGTGTCGTGGTGAAGATCATTTTTGGTCAACCCTGTTGGGAGTTCTGTGCCCCTTCTGGATGTTGTTTCCCAATTCTTTCTCCAGATTAGGAAAATTTTCTTTTACTATTTCATTAAATACATTTTTTCCATTTTTTTCTTTATTTTTGACAATTTTTACATAGTTAATTAGGGCAAAAAGGTTCAAGGGCTATAGGAAAATGGGTAAGACTATTATTTCCATACTGTTTTTTTCCTGTATCTGGGGTAAGGGGGGAGATAAAGAAACCCCATCCAGTCTCCCACCCATCCCAGGTCTCTGATGTGGGGCATGCTCTGAGGGTCTTGCTCAAGTGGTTTTGATAGTTCAGTAGTTCTGAATTGCTGCCAATCTTGCCATTCCAAGCACAATGAAGTTGCTGCAGAATCCACTGATTGACACAGTCTACCTTAGAGTCTCTGCCCAGTTTTTCACTGCCAACATATGGCTGGGGTAGTTGATTGATTTGTTCTATCCTCTGTTGTGGTGCCAGGTATCCTCTGCAGGTTCTGATAGACCTCCATATCCTCCATGTGCAGCTGGTTATGAGGAGGCTCAGAATTAAATACATATTTAAACCCAGCTTCTCTTTCTGCACCTTCTGGAACTCACATAACACTTACATTTGGCCTTTTAATAGTGTCTCTTAATTCTTGAATTTTTTTTTTAGCTTGATTCAGCTCTGCTTCCAGCTTTTTGATTGTTTCCCCATGGTGACAAAAAATATCTTCCAATTCTGAGATTCTTTTTTCTGCCTCCTTCATTCTATTATTGAGACTTTCCACTGAATTTTTAATTTGCTCTATTGTGTCCTTCATTTCCAGTAATTTGGCTTAATTTTGTTTCAGTATTGCTATTTCCTGTGTGACATATTCCTTAAATTCCTGCATGTGCTTCTTGTTGTTGATAAGAAGCTTTATAACAAGTGTTTTGAATTCTGTATTCCCCATTTTCTAGATGTATTCCTCAGTTATCTCAGAGCTTGCTCCTTTGTGGAGGAATCTTCAGTAATATTCATTGTGCCATTGTCTCTTCTTTTGCTCTTAGTCATTGTGTTTCTGGTTATCAGATTCTTCTCCTTAGGGCAGGTTTCTAAGCTGTGTCACCCACAGATCTACAATTCAATTTTACTTATTGTGGTTGGTACACATTTTTTTTTTTTTTTTGCAGTCACTTGTGCCACTTCCTCCTATGAGTTTCAGATATGGGCTGTTACATTAGACTTCCAGCTTCCAGTCTCTGTAGCTCCAGCTCCTGGCTCAGCACTCTCCTCCTCCTCTGATCCTGTGCTGTTGTTGCACCATTGTCTCTACAACCTTTCTTCCTCTTCTGGTTCAAGCAGTTCCTAGGATTAGGGAGACACCAGGTGTCCTAAATAGCTAGGTTGTTGTTGATGCTGATCTTGTCATAACCTGCTGGCCGTTAGGTCTAAGGGCTACATGGACTTATGATGCCAAAGTTGGTATTATTTTCTATGTGGGACCAGTGCAATGCACTGAGCTCAATGAGTTCACTCCCAGCTCAGCACATGCGCAGCTCACTGTTGTCCCTGCAGTCTTAAAGTTTTTGCCACACTGTACAAAATGGTACCTGATGTGCTACTCATGGAGTTCTTGATCTGCTGGCCATTAGGTCTGGGAACAACCTGAACATTTTTGTGGGTGGAGCATGTAGGATGCCACATTGTGGCAATTCACTGAGCCTGAAGTGGTTTCACTCCCAGCTTAGTGCATCTTCCATTCCATAGCCTTTGTCTCCCTATACAAGGTGGCACTCAATTTGGCTCTGCTGGGGGTTTGGGCTGTGAAATCTGTCCTGTTCCTGCACCACCTGTTTGGGATCTGCTGCTCTGTCTCTGCTCTTGGTTAAATCAAATAAACCAGCAGGACAGGCAGTTCTTTGTCAGGATTTATCTCCTAGGCTCACGATGAACCTCCCTTCCCAGCTGGTTGCTGGTGGAGTTCCGGCTGCTGGTGCAGTTCAGATTGCCACTGGCTGAATGCTGCTGGGATGTCTGGTCACTGCAACACCACCCCGTTGTTTCTGCTGCTTTCCTGTGTCCATCAGTCTCCAGGTGCCCCTCTGCCATTGGTCTGTCCTCTCCTATTTCCTGGAATGTGCCCTCTCTGCTTCACCCTGGCTAATGTTTCTCCCTCTGTTTAAATGTGTCCTCACCCTATTCCGCTAAATTGATTCTCTCAGATATTTTTCTAGGTGAGAAAACTGAACTCCAAAGAGAAGGAACTTGCAGTAGTGAAGCAGAACAAGGCAGAGTTGGGATGCCAACTGGGCTCCCTCTGTCACCCAAAGTCCCTTTGACCATTACATGCTGCTGTGCCACAGTCACGCCTTCCTTCATTTTATACTTTGCCACCAAATTAATTCCCTGAGAACACAGCTGCTATGAACTTTACACTTGTCTGTTTAAAAACGTTCATGGCTCCCACTTGGCGGCTAAATTCAGTCTGACTTCCTGGACCTGGCACATTACTTCAGCCTAATTCAAGACCTCACATCTTCTTTCCCAACTACAATGCCCAGCACTTCAATCAAACTAGATCACTCTCTCCTTCCTTCCTCTTTCCTCTGTCCCTCTGATTAGAGAGGTTGACTCAAATCCTACCCTTTCCCTACATGACCCAGCTCAAAGCCATCTACGCTTGATCTATAGCCAAAAGGCCAAGAAGTGATGCTCCAAGTCATCTGTTATAGTGAGGCTTCTGGACTCCTCAACCAAGGGCATTTCCCCCCAGGTTTTATAAACTCGTGTAACTTATCTTCTGGAGCAAATACTCTGGAAATAGAAAAAAGCAAACATCCCTTGAAGTATTTGCCACAAGGCTAGGAAAAAAAAAAGGTGGGTGGTGAGGGGGCAGAGACTGGTAAAGAGCTAAGAAAGAAGCTGGGCAGTGTATATGAACATGTCAGATGGATGATACAAAGCAGAAGGCTTCAGCCTCAGAGCTGTGGACCTTCCATTAAGGGATGTGCCTGCAAGGAGCACGAGCAGCTGTGAACTCCTTAGTGCTATGCCTCAGATCAATGACAGTTATGCAAAATAATGCAAAGATAAAGGGCAAACATTTAAGCAGTAAAAATATTTTTTTAAAAACTAGGCTTTTTTTTTTAGAGCAGTTTTAGATTTATAACAGACCTGAGCAGAAAATGCAGAGTTCCACAACAGCCCCACTATATTGCTGCCATTGATGAACGCACATCAACACACCCTGGTCACTCCAGGTCTATAGTTTGCATTAGGGTTAAATCTTGTTGTTGCACATTCTACAAGCTTGAAAAATGTCCCACCACATTTCAGATGGGGTCCCCCTTCCTAAGAGTCTTCTGCTCCTCTCTCTTTCCCTCAAGAGTCCTGGCAGGTGCTGATTTATTTAAAAAAATTTTACTTATTTAAATTGAAAGTCAACATTACAGAGAAAAGGAGAGAGATAGAGATAGATAGAGAGAGAGCTTAGAATTAGGAAGCATCTTAGCACCCCAGGGGGCCCCTCTGGAGGCCGTTCTCAGGGGGTCACCTTGTCCCACCTGGTGTCTCCGTCTCACTAGCTCACCACAGCTTTCTATTGCGGCACTGTTAGGTTTTAGATGCATTTAAAGTTCCTAGAGTTCTTATGTTGTTACGCACAGCTAATTCCCACAGCCAAGTCCTCTTTTCACAAGTAGTTTACCGCAAGCTGAAACACCATACGCCAGGAAATATTAGGAAGTTCTTTGTTCCAGTGGAGTAGGAATGGGAGCAGGATGGAAGGGGGGAGAAAAATGGAAGGGACCTGTCTCCTGCCATGGTGGCAGGATGGAGGCTGCCAGGGCAGAGGAAAATGACAAGATGGAGAAGGAATTGGAAGAGCTAGGCAAGAAGGGAGGGGAAGAGAGAGGGGGAAGAAGAAGGGGTGGGACCGTGGGCCACACGGACAGGTGACTGAGATTATCCGAGCCACAGGTAGGTGGGTGGAGACTAGGGGGAGGGGCCAGAAACTGGGGAGTAGGATTATCAGGTAAGGCGCCAGTTTACATCCGATTGGTCGATAACTGAATTTTGTGAGCTGTGGGGAAGAGGAAGCAGGAAATGATGGGATTTCGAATCACTCCTCACAGGCACCACAAGGTGGAAACTGGCAGAAGGACATGGTTTTTGAAGAAGGCACCAAAATTTTCAGCGCTATCTTAAATTTTACACAATCTTGCTGGTGGGGTGGGGGGGATTAATCCAAACAGCTGCAAAACTCATTTTCATCCAAGTTCCCCCTGAAAAAAACCCAAATCTCAAAATTCTGTTTTCCACTTTTATTTTCAAGTAGTTGGTCTAATGGGCAAAAACAAACAGTGGGAGGCCTTTTCTCTCTTCACACACGGGCAAGTCAAGGCAGAGGGAGGCTGGTTTAAAACGCTGCATCAGTGCAGAGCACTTAGTGCCAGGGACTGTCCCCAGCGTCTCCCGCTGGGGCTGCAGATTGCTGAATTGGTGGCAGAGCTCATTGTTTATCCACTTAAGGCAGCATGCAAAATACTCTAGGCCTCCCTCTTGATTCCTGTGGAGCACTTCATAATTTATGAAGGCATTTCATCTCCATTATCTGATTGTAACCTCATCTCAACCCTGAGAGATGGGATTAAGCTTTATCCTCATTTTACAAATGATATGATAGTGGATGCCAGTTCATATTTGGCTGTTCCTGCTCCAAACCAACTCCCTGCTTATGGCTTAGGAAAACTGTGGAGAATGGCCTGAGTCCCTGGGGTCCTTCACCCACGGGGGAGACCCGGAAGAAGCTCCTTGCTCCTGCCTTTGAATAGGCTCAGCTCCAGCCATTGTTACCAGAGGGTGGAGATCTTTGTCTCACCTTCTCTCTGTAAATGTGACTTTCCAATAAAAATAAACAAATGTTTTAAAAGTATAAAAGACAAATGATAAAAAAAGGTTCAGAAAGGCTAAGCCACCTGCCCAAATTCACATGGTTTGTGGGTGGTGACACTAGAATGAGCACTCGGTGTTTTGACTTTCCTTCTGGAAAGTGACTCTGAGACACACTGCCTCAGGTGTGGGCATAGCCTCACTGCGCTGTCTTTTCTTTTAACACAGACTCCAACAAAGGACTCTTTATTTCCTTCCCTAACCGGGAAATAAAGGATTCCCTCACGAGCACTTGTGCCACCCCAGGCAATGGGACCCCAGACCAGAAATCCGGCCCCTTTCCTCTGGGATCACAGGTAAAGTATCCACCGTCCTGTTCATCTGCTGACCAGTCCAGAGCTCGTACAGATAATTCAGTGGGCTCTCGGTCATTCATAAAGGCGTTAGAGGACTTGTTCGGAGGAAGCATTTCGCACCCTCTGAAAGGGAAAAACAGGGTCAAGTACAGAGTACCTTCTCTGCTCCGTTAATGGCAGCCTGCCCTTGGCCACTCCCACATTAACCTGTTATTGAGTACACAACTTCACACATTTGATGCCAGGCATCTCAGTCCAAAACAGGACTCTGTTAGCAGGTTTTTTTTTTTTTCTGTTGGTTTAGAAATATCTTTTCTACCTATTTTTTCCATCTCTTGTTGCCTTGTCTCTTACATTTTCTACCTCAGCCTTTTAATTTCTGAGCCTTACAGGTTAAGGGTAGCTTTCCTAAAGGCACCTCCTCAGCATAATGGAAAAGTTAGAGGGTGAAGATGGCCTTGAAGCTGTGGGCTCTGGGCAGGTGGAGATCATGCCAAATGGGAGAAGAATTTGAAATTGAGAGTGTTTAAATAAATGATGGAGGTTGGGATAGCAACATTATACAAGACTTATTTGTGATGATCCAAGGAGAAGAACTGATGACTTTGTAGGCACTATCTCCTCTATCTGACATTTTGTTGATAAAGCAAAATTATAAGAAGTATCCAGGACGAGAACAAAAGACTCTTATTAACCCACAATTTAGACCACCAAGATTATGTTAATAGAAAGATTATTGTTTTCAGTTTGATTATACAGGAGTTTTTTAAGTTATGGAAAATACATATATTATAAAAACACTTTGCATGGATTCTAAAAACTTTTGGCACTAAGAACTTATTTTAACTTCATTTCCCATAAACTTTTTGCAGTGCTCTCATGTGGTACTTCTATCTTTTAAAAGATATTTTAGCACTTAATGAGCTTATTTGTTTTTGGAACTTGTATTTGGCAACTTGGAAACTATCTCATTTATCCTTCCAAAAACATATTTGAGAGACAGAGAATTAGCTCTGATTTGCAGGTTTACCCCTGAGATGTGCACAATAACCAGTGTTGGATCGGCCAAAGCCGGGAGGCCAGAACTCAGGCCAAGTCCCTCATGTGGATGGCAGAGGTCCAGGCACTTAAGCTATCACCTGCTGCCTCTCGGGATGCAGATTAGCAGGAAGATGGAGCTGAGAGCAGTATCAGGAATCAAACCTAGGCAGTCTGATATGGGGTATAAGTGATTCAAATAGCAATTAGGCCAAATGTCTGCCCTGAAAATTGACAATTAAAAAAAAATTAGAATTGATTTTAGGAAATGTAGACAAAGAACATACCACAGTTTAAAAATAAGTCTGAAAATGCTTTTTTAAATGACCAGGGAAAAAAATTGAATGATTTTATGTAATCCTTTTTTTTAGAAATAAGGAAATAGAATTTCTTTCTTGACATGTAACCAGAAAAATAATAGTTTTAAAAAACAAATCCTAGATAGTTTTCCAATTTGCCTCAATCTTTGTCTAGCTGTTTTTCAGATTAATTTTTAGTCTATTAAAACTTCCATCAAGTACCATAATCAATATTCAGAAAAAAAACATGGGGAGCCCCCTCCTTTTTTTTTTTTTTTTTTTTCTTGAGTGGCAATCAGGGAGGAGGGTGGAAATCACTCTCATATATATCTACTGGTCAACTTGCCAAATGCCCACACAGGCCACAGCCAGCACACAAGAACTCAACCCAAGTCTCTGATGTGGTTGGCGGGCACCAACCACTGGAGCCATCACCAACTGCCTCCCAGTGTTTTCCTTAAAGGGAGCTGGAGTCAGAAGCCAAAACCAGACATCACATGCTGGTCACCGGGAATCTCAACCACTGACTTAACCGTTATGCCAAACTCTAGTTCCAGTTGGAAGATCTAAACAGAAGAAGTCAGGAAAGGTAGCCTATCTAATTTCTATCTTGAGTTATCTAAAATAAAGGAAGTGGGGAAAAAAAAGAATCAATCCATCAAACAGAGGAAGTACAGCATTTCATGGGCTGGTAAGTCCTCTAGCTAAGGATTTCCAGGAGTCAGCTGCTTCAGAGCAACTCCTTATATTCTGACAGCTTGTCCTAGGTTGAACCATTGCCAACCATCCCAAGAAGGGATGGACTTCTAGTTAGGAGAAAAGTACACTAATTCTTGCTCATCTAGTAAGCTCATATTTGAATGCCCATGGATGCCTTTCAACCTAAACTTTTAAACTTTTTCTTAAATGCAGGAAATGACAAGAAGGGAGCTGCCAAGTGACAATCACCAAGAAGATGGTAAATTCTTTGTTCTTTGATTAATTTTCCCCACTTTGAGTATGACCGGATTTGGAAGAAGAGGGAGATGTGCTGGTCCCAAGGCCTTGGTTAGGGGGACCAGCTAATTCCCTAATTTGCTTGTGTGCCCTGGGTGCTTAGTGACCCGGGAGGCTTTCCTGCTTCAGGAGTAACCGTTCTGGCCTCCTCTGGACTTCTGGTATTGGCTGATTTTTCTGCGTCTTTGTAAACTTGCTCTCATTTGGGTTTGTAGCGTTTCCATTCACTTTCCCCCTCCACTAATGTATAAGTTAAATGTGATTTTTGCATTTTTAGTAGTGCCCACAAAACAATATGGGACCTCAACTTGTCCAGTTTTAAAACGTGCCAATATTTTTAAATTGTCTCTTGTATAACTCAAAGACTTGAGTATTTTACTCCTTTGCGTTCTTTCCTATTTATAATTATTATGAATTTTATTTCCCTATATTTTAATTTCCTATATAACACAAGATACATTTATATAGTCAAGTGTTCATTTAGGGTTATCCAGACATTTGCCATGTTGCTTGCTCTTCATTTCCTTTCTCATCCCAGCCTTCCCTTCTGAGATTATTTGCTTCCAATGTACCATAAAACCTTTAGCCTATTTTCTCGTGTGAGCCTTTTAGCAATGAACTCTGTAGTACTGGGTGATCTGAAAAGGCGTCTGTTTTCCCAGCATTCTGGAAGGATGTTTCCTGGGTGTGGATTTCTAGGCAAGCAGTTGTTTGTTTCAGAATGGTGAAGCTAATCTACTGTATTAGGCCTTCGGCTCGCCGCTGCTTTCCCAAGCCATTAGCAAGGAGCTGGATCAGAAACAGAATGGCGAGACATGAACTGGTGCCCAGATGGGATACTGGCACTACAGGCACAAGCTTAGCCTGCTATGCCATGGCGCCAGTCCCAGTGTCCACTCTCTTTTATGGTTGCTTTTCAAAAAGTCAGCTGGAAATCTGTCCTTCCCGCAAGAAGAATCTGTCTTGTTTGAGATTGCCCAATAGTCTCTGGTTTCATGCAGCTTTACTGTGATGCATAAATTTCTTTACATTCTTTTCTGTTTAGTATTTGTTATACTTGAATCTGTGGTTTGTGTCTCATGACTTCTAGCAAGTACTACAAATACTATCTGGGACCCATTGTTTGTTTCCCAAACATCTCGGACTCTTGTTTAATAAATATATGGCAGTGGTTTTCACTTTGTCCTTTTAGTCATCTTTTTGGCTGGTCTGAATTCTGGCTAATTCCTTTTGATACATAGTTCAGTTAAATATATATATATATTTAATTTATATTTAATATATATATATATATTTAACTGTGCCCAGTTTGTCTGTTGAATCATTCATTTCAGTTGCTTTATTTCTTAGTTCTTTAGATTTGATTTGATTCATTTTCAAATCCTCTGGATATATTTTTTTAACTGAAAAAAGTTTCTGGGCCAGGCGCAAATAGCTTAGTGGCTAAGTCCTCACCTTACACGCACTGGAATCCCATATGGGTACTGGTTTGTGTCCCAGCTGACCCACTTCCCATCCAGCTCCTTGTCTGTGTCCTGAGAAAGCAGATGAGGATGGCCCAGAGCCTTGGGATTCTGCACCCACTTGGGAAACCCGGAAGAAGCTCCTGACTCCTGGCTTCTGATCAGCTCATCTCCAGTCATTGACCTGGGATGCGGACATAAGATCTTTTTCTCTGTCTCTCCTTTTCTCTGTAAATCTGTCTTTCCAACAAAAATAAATAACTCTTAAAATAAATAAATAATTAAATCTTTCTTACAAGTTTCTTTTCATCTACTTAAAAGGCAGAGAGTGAGAGAGCAAAATCCCATCCACTCTCCCGATTTTGTTTACAACAGGCCCACTGATCAGGTCAAGTCAGAAAACCACAGCTCCATCTGGATCTCCCATATGAGTGGCAGGAACCCAAGTACCTGCATCATCCTCTGCTATTTCCCATTTTGAATTAGCAGGGAACTGGATCAGAAGCAGAGCCGCTGGGACTTAAATCAGCGCTGTAAGATGCAGGCATTTGAATCTGTGGCTTAAGCCACTGTGTCACACTGTCTGCTTTTTGGATCACTTTTTAAAATAAGAAAATTTCCAGTTTGGTTTATAAATGTATTGATTGTTTCAAAAGGCAGTCAGAGAGACAGAGATAGATCTTCCATCCAGTGGTTTACTCCCCAGAGGCCTGCAGCATCCAGAATTGGGCCAGGCCAAAGCCAGTAGTTTGGAACTCAGTATGGGCTTCTCATATGGGTGTCAGGGACCCAAGAACTTGAGTCATCACCTGCTACTCCCAGGAGGTATGCTAGCAGGAAGCCAGAATTGGAAACAGAGCTAGGGCTTGAGCCAGGTACTCCGGTATGGCCTGCAAACATCCAAGTAGCATGCTAAGCTAGGCCCAAAATATCAAAAGTGGTGACCAAGAAAAAACTCAGGCTTCACACTTTTAGGAGAAAGAGTCTGAGGAAGTGATTAATAGGAAAGTCATCTTTAGAATCCCACAGATTCTGGGCCCAGCATGATAGCCTAGCAGCTAAATCCTTGCCTTGCATGTATCAGTTTCCGTATGGGCACTGGCTCCTAGCTCCGGCCATTGCAGCTACTTGAGTAATATATCAGTGGATGGGAGATCTTTTTGTCTCTCCTTTTCTCTGTAGATCTGTCTTTCCAATACAAATAAATAAATATATTTTTTAAATGTTGTAGATCCTTCACTGCTTATGTAAGTGACTCATACCCTTTATTGTTGTTGCTCTGTGTGGAGGTTGTTTCATCTGTCTATGCCACCATATATCAAAATGCTCAAAATACAGCCAGTGCAATAGCACAGCAGGCTAGTCCTCTGCCCAGTGGCATTGGCATTTCATGTGGACACTGGTTCATTTCTCGGCTGCTCTACTTCCTTTTCAGCTCCCTGCTTGTGGCCTGGAAAAGCAGCAGAGGATGGCTCAAGTCTTTGGGACCCTATATCCACCTGGGAGACCTGGAAAAGGTGCTTGGCTCCCAGCTTTGGACCAGCTCAGCTCTGGCCATTGCAGCCATTTTGGGGAGTGAGCCAGTGGATGGAAGATCTTTTCCCTCCATTTCTGCTTTCTGTAAAATCTACCTTTCAAATAAAAATAAATAAATCTAAAAAAAAAAAAGAAAGAAAGAAAGAAAAATTATCAAACATTTTCCCCCCGGAATGCTTCATGATAGGGTGGACAATGCTGGTACCTCAGGTGACCCAGGCAGAAATCTCACTATGTTTTGTTCTTTTCCTTTCCTTGACTAGAATTCAGACATTACTCTCCTCATCAGCCAGCAGCACGATCCCCAGAGAAGATGACTAGAGATGGGTACCGAGTATCTTTTGTGGACAGTAAATCTTCGTGTTCTCCAGAAAAGGACTCCATGATGAAACTCGACAGTTTTCAGCTCCCGCACGATGCCTCACCGGGTAAACGCCTGGATGTGGGTGATTCCAGCCAGATCCATCCCTGTCAGTTACCCACCAGTGTCGGTTTGGAAAATTATGACAGTCATTATTCTCAAACTCTGTCTCTGCACGGAAGTCTTGGTAAAAGACCTCAGAGGAGCAAGAGCTACAGAGACTATAGCCTAAAGCCCTCAAATGAGCTAAAGGCCACCGCATCCCATTCTTGCGGCGACTTACTGACTTCCTTTTCAAACTCCAACGCCAGCACCGGGAGACTTTTGAAGCTTAGTTCAGGTATCAGTTTCCTGTCAGATTCCACATCTTTTTCCATAGGCATAAAGAGCAAAAATGTATAACTGGGAAAATGGGAATTAGCATGTCTTAATTTGCCTTAGCATTTTGTAAATCGTATTTCAAGGTCAACATTGGTTCAGGGAACTCCCAGAAATCTGACCGGAGAGACGACAGCTCTGAGGGAATGTGCTCCTGAGAGCCGAGTGAGTGCAGTGTGTGGTCACTCTGTGTCGTGTGTTTAAATAGGGAAGAACTGGGGACTGAGCTGGGACCCTAGGGCTTGGCCATACAGAAAACGTGTGAAGACAGCTTCTGGGGGTGTGTGGCAGTCAAGGCCTCCTTGAGAAGGATCCAGGAGAGACTTGAAGGCAAGACTGTAGAGTTGCCAAATACCTGGCAGGGAAGGGGACCAAAAAAAAAAAGTATATATAAAAGCTGGAGTGGGATGTAAGGCCAAGGAGATGGAAATGATGTGATAGAGGAAACAAAACTGATGACACAGGAGAGAAAAGGAACAATTCCAAGGAAACAATCCTAGATCCGTCCAAAGGACCTGTGGGGTCAGTCTGCAGGAGAGACTTAGACATGGGTAGAGGCACACTGTTCATCCACTGTAAGAAAGAAAGTTGAGAATTGAGGGTTACAAATGTCTGGGGGGCTTCTAAAAACTCATGCAAAATGGAATGAAGAGGCACGTTTATTCAGGTACAATTTTTTTTTTGGCGGCGGGGATTCACACGTGATGTTTTGGTAACCTGCCTTGTCCAGGTGAGGTGGCAGGCTGCATGGTGGGGTTCCACGACCAACACCTATGCTTTCTCAGCTTAAGAAAGGGCATCAACTCCTGAGAAGAAGCAGGTGCATGCATGGTGCCAGGGGTCTGAGAAAGAGGTGCGAGTTAGTCATGTGAGACAATAGAGAGCTAAACTGATCCTGGCTGGGAGTGTACTAAGGGCTCAGACAGTGCTGGGGCTGGCCCTGTGGCACATTTTGATGAGCCACTGCCTGTGGTACCGGCATCTCATGTGGGTACAAGTACGAATCCCAGCTGATCCACTTCTAACCCAGCTTCCTGCTTATAGCCTAGAAAAGCAAAGCAGGATGTTCTAAAACCTTGTGACCCTGTAACCATGTGGGAGACCTGGAAGAAGTAGCTGACTCCTGGCTTCAGACCAGCACAGCCCTTGCTCTAGTGGCCATTTGGAGAATGACCCAAGGGACTGAGGATCTCTCCTTCCTCTCTCTCTAACGCTGCCTTTCGAATGAAGAACACAAAAGACTGTGCCATGAGTTTAAAGCAAGGAAGGTCAGAACAGCTGCATGTCCTCCGGCCACAGTCCACTGCCCCAGTGCAGGCTCAGAGTATGTGGACTATTGGCTTTACCAGAGATGGGGAGGGAGGGAGAAAGGGTCCAGAAACTTGGGGGGTACATGCTAAGGAATCATGATGCATGACCTCTGGACCAGGAATGAGTGGGAGTCAGCAGGAAGCTGCAGGGTAGGTTCATCTCCCACTGTGTTTCCTCCACCTCTCCCCAACAGATCTGTACGCCACAACCCATTACAGCAGTGACCCTGCTCTGCTCCTGCATGTTGACCAGCAATCAGCCAGCAGCCTCGGCGGCGACTCAGCAACGCGTGGTCCTTTCCCCACAACCGCCTCCATCCTGGGAAACCCTCTGCCTGCTCCACTGCTCCTGCCACCAGGGGCCTCAGAAGATAGAGGGTTCTGGAGCAAGAGGTCCACCAGCCCATCACGAAGGGGATTCGAGCGGAAGGACTCTGTCCTCACCCACCTGAGCCCAAAGCATGAGTTCAGGGACCTTGCAGGCAGCGAGGCAAGTGTTGGCTTGTTTACATGGGTATAAGAAATGTAGCAGGTTCCAGGCTGTAACGGGGTTTTTGAGGGATGGGGTTTAGGGGAGAATGACAAGGTGGTTCTAACCTAACCAATACTGCGTGCATGCAAAGGGGTTCATACTGCCAGATTAAAACCTTTTTTAGATTAACTATTTACTTTTATTGGAAAAGCAGATTTACACAGAGAAGGAGAGAGAAAGATCTTCCATCCACTCATTCACTTCCCAAATGTCCATAACAGCCCCAGAACCAAACCAATCCAAAGCTAGGAGCCAGGAGCCTCTTCCAGGTCTCCTTTATGGGTGAAGGGTCCAAGGCTTTGAGCCATCCTCCACTGCTTTCCCAAGCCACAAGCAGGGAGTTGGAAGGGAAGTGGGGCAGCCAGGACACGAACCAACACCCATGTGGGATCACAGCACTTGCAGGTGGAGGATGAGCCAATTGAGCCATTGCACCAGAACCAGGCTACAGCCTTTGATTTGTCCACTCTTGGGAAAGTTATCCACCTCTTCACTGCCACAGTCACTGTTTGCTCATTTCAGTCACAGGAAGAAAGCTCCCTGAACTATTTCCAGAGTAATATGGGGTGGAGAAATGCTTTGATAAGAAGTGATAGACAGATTTACTAACAGGAAGGAAGGCGGAAGTAGCAGGGGTCCCTGGGTGATGTTTACAGTTTCATCATGTTTATTCCTCTGCTCCAGCCACAATCAGCTAACTTGAAACTGTTCTCATGGAAGCCTGGGCTTGGCTTTGCTGTCTATAAATTTGAGTGCAACTTTTCTTTTTTCTGAAGCAGCAGCAACAGAAGATGAATTAGATTTTCCTAGGAATTTTGGGCTGAAAATGGTTGAGAGAACAAACAGAAAAATCTGTAAGTGTTCTCACATATCCAAACAATTATTTTATGAAATCAGAGAATGGAAGAGTTATGTGATAAAAAGTATCTAGTTCTGGGCCTGGTACAATAGCGTAGTGGCTAAATCCTCAACTTCCATCTGCCAGGATCCCATGTGAGTGCTGGTTCAAGTCCCAGCTGCTCTACTCACATTTCCAAGTTTCCAACTGCTTGTGGCCTGGGAAAGCAGTTAAGGACAACCCAAAGCCTTGGGACCCTGCACTGGCATGGAAGACCAGGAAGAAGCTCCTGGCTCCTGGCTTCAGGTCAGCTCAGCTCTGGCTGTTGTGGCCACTTGGGGAGTGAACCAGTAGATGGAAGATCCAGGTCTCCTGCGTGGCAGGAACCCAGTTACTGAGCCATCACTGCTGACTTCCAAGGTCTGCACTGATAGGAAGCTGGAGCCATGAGTCTGGAGTCAGGAATCAAACTTAGGTATGTGGGTGTTTTAACCATAAGGCTCAATGCTCATTCCTTTAAAAAAAAAAAAAAAAAAAAGGATATTAGGAACTAATATGGGTTGGACCACCACTTGTAGTACCAGCATCCCATGTGAGAGTATCAGTTCAATTCCCAGATGCTCTGCTTTCCATCCAGCTCATGAACCTGGAAAGGCAGAGATGGTCCAAGCACTTGGGCCATGCCACCCACCTGGGAGACCCAGACAGAGTTCTAGCCTCCCGGCTTCAGCCTGGACTAGCCTCTGTCATGCAGTCATTTAGAGCGTGAACCTGCTGATAAAACGGGTTCTGTCTCTCCCATTCACTCTGTAATCCCACCTTTCAAATAGATTTTTTTCTAATTATGTTTTTTACCAACTGACTTCAGAGGTCTAAATAATTTATGAAAATTCATGAAAATTTTATTTTAAAAAGCTTTAAGACATAATTTTCTGAAAACTAAAAGACCCATAGAAGTAATAAAATTAGACAAAAGACTCAGCAAATTGTAATAAATGAAAATGCTGAAGGGCATATTTAAGTTTCCAAGTTGTTCTATGATATACACACAAAATTACCCATGCCTAAAAGCCAATGGCAGTAAATATTTGTCATAGTCAGATTTGAGAAGGCCTGCTAGAGTGACTGTGGTATAATTGGATCACCTGTGATCCCCTCTCAGCAGGCAGGTGGTTAACTTCATAAATCTCAGGATTCAGCTCTTCAAACATCCACAGTCCTTACACAGAGCTCACAGGGCCCATGTTCAGTGCAGATTCATTGAACAAATACTTATTTTTTAAAAGATTTTATTTTTATTGAAAAGGCAGATTTACAGAGAAGAAGAGAATGATCTTCCATCTGCTGGTTTACTCCCCAAGTGGTCGCAATGGCCAGAGGTGAACTGACCCGAAGCCAGGAATGTCTTCTGGGTCTCCTACATGAGTGCAGGGTCCCCAGACTTTGGACCATCCTCTACTGCTTTCCCAGGCGACAAGCAGGGAGTTGGCTGGAAAGAAGAGTAGCCAGGACACAAACCAGTGCCCATATGGAATCCCAGTGCGTGCAAGGCAAGGATTTAGCGGCTAGGCTATTGCTCTGGGACCGAACACATACTTATTCCATTTGTAATTACTCATAGGCTGCAGCCTGGACCACTCATATCATTAATGTCACTGGTTTTGACTTTCACAACCATCAGGTGTAACAGCATTAGCCAATTCATCATCTATATATTTTTTTTGCATCAAAAGAACCAGATTAAGAAACAATTTGGCTATTTTCAATATGTATCAGCCTTTCTTGAAATCCTAAAACTACAGAAAAGAAGATTGGTAGGTAGATTTGTAAAAGTTCACAAACAGATGAAAGATGGGTCATGTCAGAATGAATAAAAAGAATTGTGGATTTTCTGTATGGATATGTATATCTCTATATAGGATTCTTGCTTAATAAAAGGCTTATTTTCTACAGGAACCAATAATAACATTTAACACAAAACATTTAAAATATTATGTGGGGTATGGGGACGGCCATTTGTCTCAGCAGTTTTATCATCACATATATCACATATCATACACAGCAGAATGCTCCATTGAATGCTGGCAACTGGGATTATTATCAAGCATTCCTATTGATGTGTGTCTTGGGAGGCAGCAGACCATGAATAAAATAACTGGAGTCTCAGCCATCCACTTGGGAAACTTAGAAGAAGTTCTAGATTTTCCCTAGCACTGGCTGCTGCAAGCACATGGGGAGTAAACCTTTTAAATAAAATGAACACAATTTTAAAAATTAAAATGTTATAGGACATTATCTACTAATATATGTTCAAAGCATATTGACTTACAGTTTTATTAAATTATTGCTGGTTTTATTTTACTATACATAATAGATTTTAGGATGTTCTTCTTAGGGCCCAGCATTATGGCACAAGTTAAGCTGCCACTTGTGACACCAGCATCCTATAAGGGAATGCCAGTTTGAGTTCTGGCTGCTCCACTTCCAATCCAACTTCCTGCAAATGCCCCTGGGAAAGCAGCAGAAAATGACCCAAATGCTTAGGCACCTGTCACCTGTATATGGCAAACTCAGAGGGAGTTCCAGGTGCCGGGCTTTAGCCTGGACCAGCTCCAGCCATTGTGACCATTTGGGAAGTAAACCAGTGAACAGAAGATCTCTCTCTTTCTTTCTATGTTATTCTGATTTTCAAATAAATAAATTTGTATTTTAAAAAAAACAATATTAAAAAAAGAGATGGTCTTCAAAAAGTTCATGAAAAATATCTAGTAAGAAAAACTGAAGCATAGATTTCAAAAGTCTTTCACATCAAAATTAATCCAGCTTTCAATTCCGTTTCCCCACCAAATTTTTAACCTGCCCTAAAATAATGAGCCATAGTGTGGGTGTTAACACATTTTTGTTGTAAATGTATTCTAAAAATCTCCATGGAAAACTGCAATAGAAGATACTATTATCTTTGGAAGTATCCTTGAATATCTTATATATTTTCCTGGGATATAACTTTCATATTATTCAACTTCAAGGTGAAAGTTGAAACCATATTTCTTTTTTTAAAAAGATTTATTTAATTTTCATTACAAAGTCAGATGTACAGAGAGGAGGAGAGACAGAGAGGAAGATCTTCCGTCCGATGATTCACTCCCCAAGTGAGTGCAACGGCCGATGCTATGCTGATCCAAAGCCAGGATCCAGAAACTTCTTCCAGGTCTCCCACGTGGGTGCAGGGTCCCCAGGCTTTGGGCCGTCCTCGACTGCTTTCCCAGGCTACAAGCATAGAGCTGGATGGGAAGTGGAGCTGCTGGGATTAAATGGGATCCCAGCGCTTTCAGGACAAGGACTTTAGCTGCTAGGCCATGGCGCCGGGCCCAAAATCATAGTTTAAAAAAAAAAAAAAAAAGCTTTCTTTTTTATTGGAAAGACAGAGACAGTTCTCTTCCATCCTTTGGTTCACTCCCCAAATGCACAACAGCCAGTGCTGGACAAAGCCGAAACCAGGGGGCTGGAATTCTATCCTGGTCTCCCACATGGGTGGCAGGAGCCCAACGCCTTGAGCCATCACCTGCTACTTCTAAGGAAGAACATTAGCAGGGAGCTGGAATGTGACCCTGAACCCACTTTTAACTTAAAAAAACTATTGTAAGATTTTAAATGTCTGGCTTTTTCATCTATTATGTAAGAATGACAACTGGTTGGAGGTTTTGTTTTTTTCTTGAGCCTCTCTCTAGCGACCTGGGCAGTTTGCATGGTTTGCCAGGAAACCACAGTCCCCCAATCTCTGCCAGAACCCCGCACGTGGCCACTGTCCTCAGACAGCTCCTGGAGCTGGTGGATAAGCACTGGAACGGCTCTGGCTCGCTCCTCCTCAACAAGAAGTTCCTCGGTGAGTGAACGCATGTGCAGTTCCTGGAGAGGTGTGGGCTCCACTTTGTGTTCCGCTGTCACTCGGCCCCAATCTGCTTTTTTCTTACATTCTTCTTCCCTGTGTTTTTGTTTTGTTTTTTTTACCAGCACTCTCACCCATTGCTTTGTTCTTCCTGTGTGTATAAGTGTTTGGCGAAACATGGAGTGACTGAATGTGAAACAGAGACTGGTTCTGTTAATGCTTGAAATTTTCAACAATGAATGCAAAAGAAATGGGATTTGACCATCAGAGTTCTAGATGACTTAAAACATTATGATTTGAATTTATATGATCCAAAAAACCTCAGGGGAAAATCAGAAGTTAAGCAAAATTGAGTTTTAATTTGAAAAATGCATGCTTTCAGGGTGACCAAATGGACTTATTAGGCTTTTCTGTTTGGGGTTTTTTTTGTTTGTTTTTTCTGGGGAACATGGGTTCAACAGTCAAGTGAATGTTGATTCATGTGTTGATTTGTTGGTTTACTAGAAAAAGAGTTCAAAGAAACATTGGTGATACGAAAGCTTAGGTACAAACTAGAAACGTAAAGGTTGTTGACTTTGGAAACAATCCTAGCCCAGCTGTGCTGCCTCCTGTGCAGCCCCCTCTTGCTCCCATTTGTGAGAAACTGTCCTTTGAAGCCATCGAGCAGTGACCAGACCAGGAGCAATGCTTTCAGTGGCGCTGCTGTCCCCTCTGAGGGCCATGGAGACAGTCTCGCAGAGCTGAGATGTGGGGTGGCCCCGCGGGTCCTGCAGAAGCCAGCAGTGAGGGACTAGGAATTCTGGGCTGGAGCTTGCAAGCCTGGCCTGTATGTGCCCACCCTAAATTTTTGGCAGGTCCTGCCCGAGACTTGCTTCTGTCTTTGGTAGTCCCTGCTCCACCTCAGCACTGGAGCCGCTCCCACCCTGAAGACACCCAGAAAGCCTTCTGCAATAGAGAGGCAGAACTGAAGGAGGCGGGCCTGCTGGTCCCCAACGACATGGTAAGCATCTGCCTTTCCCCTCCTCCTTGGCCTGCAAAGGGCAGAGCAGGTCCGGCTGGGGTAGTTGTGCACCCTTACCAGTCCTCATCCCCAGGGAACCACCTCCCCACCCCACCCCAACCACACTTACACAAAAAGGCAGGCTGAGCAAAATCAGAACCAGAATCCATCAAGACAGCCACAGCTTGGAAGTCTGCAGGGCTGACTCCTTCACCCTAACCCTGGTCCAAAAATTCTATAGGAAGCCTTGAACTGAAGAAGAATCAAAACAAATGAACAAACAAAAATGCTAGTGTGAACTGTTGAGGGCCATATTCTCGATGGCAGTGGCTTGATCTCAGTAAGGGATGAAGGCCCATTCTCTAGGCTTCTCTCCTCCCCTCCCGATGGAGTGGAATCCGGGGCCTGTGGGAGAGGAAGGAGGAGCTGGCCTCTGCAGCTGTCCCTGTGCCTGTTGCTTAACACGCAAGGATTTTCACTTCTAGAAATGGACTGTAGATGACTCAGAACGCTGGCCTTCCGACAGAACGGCCACTTGTTCTGCAAGAGCACTGGCTGACTCCCTGGAGAGACGGCAGCCCCAGGCGGTCAGTGTGTTCTGGCAAATTGGAGCTCCCACTTAGCAGCGAATAAAACGCTAGTGAGACAGTCTGTCCTCCATCGGGACACCAGGAGAGCAGGAGGGTCTCCTTGGCAAGTGCTCCTCAGGACTTATGTCTGTATTCCTCCTCTTACTGTGTCTGTATTCTGTTTTCTGATCTACAGGAAAGTTTGAAGCAAAAACTAGTCAGAGTGTTGGAGGAAAACCTCATGTTGTCAGAAAGAATTCAGCAGTTGGAGGCAGGTGCAGGCTTCTCAGTTGTGAGTGGGCAGCAGTCCCATAATTATGGTAAGTTCAGAGAAGTGGGAGGTAGATAGGGAAGAGTGGGAGGGCAGTGAGTGAGTGAGTGAATGTGTGTGTGTGTGTGTGTCCCAACACAGCTGCCCATCTCATAAAACTCCTCACCATCGCCTTACGATAGAGGTCACTTGAGTTATTGCCAGACCAAAGCTCTTTGTAAACCACATGCAAATGTTGTGCTCACCATTATTTTCGAGAACATCACTTTTTGTGATACTAAATAGGAAGTTTGAAAAATACGAGACCTGTGACCAATCAATAATTTCCATTCAAGTTTTTGAAATATTTTCTTCTACCTTGCCTCTGTATACATTTTTAACCCCAAATTAAAAATTAGATCCTTTTTTAAAAAAAAATCAATATGAAAAATAAAAACTGATTCTTGACCTCATCCTAAATACAGAACCTCCCTGTTACTTCAGGAAGTTCCCAGGTCCCCTGTGTGGTCAGTGTGCTTGACTCTCCACCCCCTGGAAGTCACCGACCTGATGTTTGCATTTCAGTGTTAATAACGGATCAATACAGGCACTTCCTATAGTGTCCCACGCATGTACCACCTTCATCCAACCAGGGCTCTGATAGTTACCTCTAAGGTTCACAATCATAGAGAAACCTGTCATTATTTATACTAATGGCTATATAGAGTAAGTAATTCTGCAGAATATCTGGATATTCAGAAGACCCAAAGTGGGAAAAAAGATCCATAGTAAAACCCTTCTCTGAAATGACTCTGTCGCCATTGGCTGAAGCACAGTACAAGTGCTGACACCCTGGTAAATCATGCTTTTAGTGTCTGCAGACATCTCAGGCTGCTTTCCAAGGAGGCACTCCTAGAGGTAGAGATGGAGGGGCCAAGGAGGCGGTCATCTTTGAGGCTTTTGCAGCATGCTGCCAAGTTGATCCCCATTGAGGCTGCAGCCCTTCACCCCTAGCAGCCATGCATACTCAAACGCCCTTTGAACCCCATCCTTGCCAACACCGAGTATTTTTCTTCGCTGCCACTGTGATTAGTAAAAAATAACATTTATCTTGATTTGCACTATCTTTTTACTAGCATAGTTTGGGCTATCATTTTTGACAAATTAGCACAAGCACCGATAAGCAAATTACAGACATTTGAATATGTATGAGGAATCTGATTTGCAAGTTCTGATTTGGAACTCCTGCCTTTCTCGTTAAATCTAAGCTCTGTCTGATATTCATAAGTCCGAATAACAGAGACAACAGTCTTCACTTACCCCAAACACAGTTCTTTGTCCTCTCCAGTCTTACTTTAAGTCCACCGTGAGGCCCTCGTGGTGCTTGGCTCACTGTGGACACAGCTGCTGCAGCCCTCACTTGAGCCTTTTAAATCTTGCAGCTCCAATTGTGATCGACATTAGCTTCAGCTGGGGACTTGATAAACCAGTGGCTCCTCAGGCATCCCCATCACAGCGACTGAATAAGGATCTGCATTTAACAAAATCCCAGGTCATTCCTCAGGGTCAGCCTCAGTGTGATTAAAAAGTTTAGGCAGAACTGTTCTAGAAGCCTGCCTGTATTCAGCACAGAGTGACTGTGCTCTCACTCACCTGACAGGCAGTGAATGCATACTCGGAGAGCCAGAGTTGACGGTCACAGGCACCAAGTCCCTTTCTGCAAGCACTCATCGAGTCCCACCACGTGCCTGACACACTTCCCACATCCTTTCCCCCTACCACATAAGGAGGGACAAACACGCATTCCCCAAGTCAGACGTACACAGAAAAGGGCCTTACAGGGTTGTGCTAAGTGAGAACAAGCGGATCCTCTCATCAGGGATACGGGGCAGGATTCCTGGCCCTGGGGAAATCCGAACCCACAGGCACCAGGAAGTAACTGAAGCTTAGTTCAGCTCTGTTGCCAATTCCCAAGATGTCTGAATACCGAAGCTCTGCTCAAAGCCGAGCAGCCCGTGGAGCCCGCTCAGCCCTCACTGTACTGTTTGCAGATGATCTTCTGCGCAGAAACCAACAGCTGACCATGCAGGTGGCCTGCCTGAACCAGGAGCTCGCCCAGCTGAAAAAGCTGGAGGACACAGTTGCCCTTCTCCACGAAAGCCAGAGGTAGGAGACGGCATACCTAACTGGCCCCTGGCCGCAGATATTATTTCCACATATCTCCTTTGTTTCACTTGGGAACTTGTGTACACTTTGCAAGTGAAGTCCGCGCTGTACATAAACTGCCTGCACCTGGGCCCGTTCACTCAGCTTTCCAGGCACCGGGACACAACGGATTGAATGTCTTGGCTGGCATTGGTGGGCTGCAGCTAGTTTCTTGTTAGCTCTAATAAGGCCTTTGTCTGGGTCAGCTCCTTCTCTTTGGTCCCAGTGTGCCCCTAAAATCAGCTGTTTGGCTCCCCTGGGGGAAAAAATACCTGCTTCCTGGCAGTCACACATCAAGAACACTCAGCAGGGCACACCAAGGGAAGAAGCCGAAGGTAAAAGTTCTCTTGAACTCAGTAGCATCGGCCCCTCAGTAGCAACGAGCTCTTCCCTCAGTTGGGGTCAACTGGGGAGGGCTGGGAGGGTTCAGAGAAGTTCTTGAAATGTTGCTCTACTAACCCACCTTTACTTAGACCCCTCAGTGAAATGTGAATGTCAGCACCTCCTCTCCAAACTTTCACCCCCATTTTTATTTACCTAGCTTCCTAGTCAGAGGGTTATACCACACTCATTCTAGGCAACTCTCATCTGCTGCTTTGCTCCCAAATGCCACAACTGGGGCTAGGCCATGCTGCCAGGAATCAAGAACTCCATGCCATATGAGTGGCAGGGATCCAAGTACTTGACCCATCACCCGCTGCCCCTTCTTTCCTTCCTTCCTTTCTCTCTTTCTTTTAAAGATTTATTTATTTTTATTGGAGAGTCAGCTCTGCAAAGAGAAGAGACAGAAAGATCTTCTATCTGCTAATTCACTCCCCAAGTGGCTGCAACAACCAGAGCTGAGCCGATCCAAAAACCAGGAGCCAGGAGCTTCTTCCGGGTCTCCCACACATGCGCAGGGTCCTAAGCCTTTGGACCATCCTCTACTGCTTTCCCAGGCCACAAGCAGGGAGCTGGAAGGGAAGTGGAGCAGCCAGGATATAAACCGGCGTCCATTTGGGATCACAGCACATTCAAGGCAAGGACTTTAGCCATTAGGCTAACGCATCCGGCCCTGTACATTTCCAATAAGCTTCCAGGTGCTGCACTGTGGGGGCTGCTGCTTGAGGTCACACAAAGCTGTAGCTCTTGGGTGCAGCACATTCAGCTCACTGTGTTTTACACAATCTGGAAATCATTCTGCATGTTGTGAGATCATCGACTCAATATATACGTACACTGGCTTCATAAGGTCTTGATTCTTAGGGAATTTTTTTGTCACTATGATTTCTTCTTAGAATTTTGTCTAATATGTATCGGTCCCAACATCAATTCGACAAAACAAGATAAATTCAGAAACATTGTGTCTCCTTTCTTTATCCCTTCCTTCCCTCCCTTCTTTCATCTGTCTGTTGTGTTTAGATGTGGCTGTGTAGATGTGCTCCCCTTGTATTATATAAAAAGCATCATGTGGTCTTCACATTTCCTCCTGGGAGGCTGCCACTGTGGTGTAGCAGCTTTAGCTGCCACTTTGCAATGCTGGTATCCCATCTCAGAGCTCCAGTTCAAGTCTGGCCAGGCTTTCAATCCAGCTCCCTGCTAATGAGCCTGAGAAAGCACTAGATGATTACCAAAGTACTTGAGGCCCTGCCACCCACATGGCAGATCCAGATGGAACCTAGTTCTCCTGGCTTTGACCTTGGCCCAGCACTGGCAGTTATGGTCACTTGGGGAATGAACCTTTGTCCCTCCCTGTCTTTTCCCCTGCCCTGACTTTTAAATCAATAAAAATAGTTGGGCTTGCATGATATAGCAAGCAGAACCAGCAATAGCAACACCATCATCACACACGGTACCAGTTTTAGCTTGATTGTTCCACTTGCCCATATGTGGGTTCATATGTGGATTGCAGTAGAGTCTGGAAGCAGAGTCATGACTGGCATGGTGGGCTCCTTGCAGAGAAGCTTTCTTTGTGAATAGAGATTGGAGACACAAGCTGCTTCCAGCCCTTCAGTGCTTCTTCTTACCTCACTGTGAAAGTGCTTTGACGAGGTTAGAACATCCAACACATAACATGTGAGATACAGTATCGCTTCAGCTGTCTGGAACATAATTAAACAGATTTGGGGTGAAGACACTGTGGATCAGCTTTGAAAACAGCCCCCTTCTGCAGGTGACAGTTCTTTCTATTTGCAGTCATGACTGGAGTTTGTATTGTGTTTAGCTCAGATCTGAGTGGCACCTAATTCACTCAGGTCACTTACCACTTTTCTCCCCATGGCCTCAGATCTCTGGTGGTGACCAACGAGTACCTGCTGCAGCAGCTGAATAGAGAACAGAAGGGCTACTCCGGGAAAGCACTTCTGCCCCCAGAGAGGGGTCTCCACCCGGGGAGATCATCACCCTTTGGGAAGAGCACACTGTCTTCTGCCTCGCCGGCGGCACATGACACAGGTCAATACCTAATACAAAGCGTCTCAGATGCTGCCCCAGAGCCCAGCTTATGGAGCTAGCGTCCACCACTGCCCCCACCAAGGGCTCCCACTCCACTGCCCCAGACAAAGTGCACCTACCTGCGGCAATGAAAAGAATGCTTATTCCAATTCCATTGTGTTGGGCCTGCTTTTTATTACTCTGCATGTCTCCTCCCACGAAGCTATTCTTTCCTCCTGCCCACAGAAATAGCTGTGGCTCTTAGTCCCAGACACTCGGCCCTATAGATACATGGCTGGCCATTTTGAAAAATCTAGAGCGCCTCAAAGGGGTTATGTGGCAGGGACAGAGGCAAACAGGACATGCTGCCATGGGTCTATGACCAGGAAGCAGTTCTTGCTGTTGGTGGTGGCAGGGAGTGGGCTGATGCCACCAGTTGTCCCCTGAGCAGGTGACCTTTCACTTGGGCAGAGCACAGGCCCAGGATGAGCACAGTAGGGAGAAGCTGCTCAGAGAAACAGGGGTGCAGACAGTGAGGTGGGGAGGAGCTAAAGGGCTGAGGGACTGAGTGAAGGAGGCAGCTGGAGCTGAGCTGCCCCTCCCCTTAAAGGGAAGACAGAGAAGTGAGGGGTTTGTACTTGAGAAGCTTGAGATGCTTTCTCTGTGAGAAGACAAGATTAAAGATGATGTGAAGTTGGGGAGGACCAAAGAACAGCTGGGACTGGGGACAGGGCCAGGCCCCAGGTGAATGCATCTCCTGTGCATGCCCAACCCAGCCCAGCTTCCACTTCCCTGACTGACTGGGGTAAACAATGCAGGTGCTTTCTTTCACCTGCCAAAGGATTCAGGTCACTGGGGCAGCAACATCCCAGAGCAGCCTGTAGGGTGGGGGATACCCTCACTGTACCACTGTTCCCTGTGTGATGTGGCTCAGAGGAGAATATTTTTGAATGTGTGCCCTTGGGAGCCACCCTCTGCCCCAGCCCCAAGTCCCATCCATCTCCCTTGTCATACCAAGAAGGAAGGAGTAGTGGGTCCAGAGCCCAAGGTTTGGGCCTAACTCTGGTCTGACGCACAGGGCCTTGGGGAGATGACAACAGCTGGAAATGCCAAGGGGTCCATTCTCAGGACCACAGACACCCTGCCCACTTCCTCCAAGCTCATGTGCTAACCAGATGGGAGGGGTGAGCACACACCACACTCTGCACTCCTTCATTGATCTTCACCCCTACCCTACCACCCACAGGCTGGTACTGGTGCCAGGCCCCATCTCTGGCTGTGGACCTTGCTGTGCAAGGTTGCCCAGCATGGGAGGCCAGAGGTGTATTCTGGGCACAGGTCCATGGGAGCCTGTCCACTCTCAGCTCCATTTCTTCAGCTGTGAAACTGAGGAACTCCAACTCTGATTCAGAGTAACCCCCTCCCCCCACAGAAGCTAAGTGCCAAGGCCAACCTTGGGACCCATCCCAGGCTCAGCCCAGGCCTGTCTCATTGCCCCTCTGGCAGAAAGGCAGGCTGCGGCACTGGGACTGCGGCTCAGAGCCGAGGCAGGCAATTGTGTACATCCCGTAAAAACATTGCAGCAATCTGGCTCCAGGCTAATACAGGGATAAGGTGGGCAAGGGGGCAGGGAACAGGGCATGACAGACAAGGGGATGACACTGAGTGGCCAGTGGGGTGCAATTCCATGACCCCCATTGTCATACATCTGGCCAGGCCACACTGGTACAAAAGGCTTCTTTATTGAGGTCTGGGTAAGAATTAGGCACTTGGCCAGAGCAGCAGCTTAAATATGAGGCAAGCAGGCAGGAAGGTGAGCCGGGCCCAGGGCTCTGGGAGGGGCAGTAAGGCTGTAGGCACTGTCTCCAGGCAGAAGTCAAGAGGGAAGGGAGGGGGCAGGGGATGGGGGGCAGTCTGGGTCAAAGGCCTGGGGGCCGGCACCCTGGGGCAGGGCAGGCAGCTCTGGGTGGCAGGTGTCCAGCAGGGAGGGAACCGGGTTCTCTTGTTCCTCGCGCCCCGTGGGCCCAGGCCCCTGGCAGGGGCAGCCGCATCAGAGGGCCTTCCTGGGCCTCACTTCTTCACCTTGGCGTCATAGGTGCCCGCATTCTTGTAGGCACTCACATAGCCACTGTCGTCCAGGATGTCCTGCCGGCCAGCGATGCCCTTGCCTTTGCCGCTCTCATCAAAGCGCTCCTTATGGGAGCCGGTGTACTTGCTGGTGTCAGTCAGCCGCTCCACAGCGCCCCCTGTCTTTGCTTTCTGTTTAGACAGAATTCCCCGCAATAGGTGCCCGGTGAGGGAGCCAAGCCTGACCTGAGCTTTCCCACGCCCCCACCAGTGACCCCCACAGACAGGCAGGCACTTACGGTAACACCCAGGTTGGCTGGTTCCTTGCCTGCCACCAGCTGGCAGATGGCATCGAAAGCCTCCTCCTTGCTCTTCCCCTTGAATCGCTTGGTTGCCAGCTCTTCCAGCGCCTTCTTGAACTCCTCATAGTTGATGACCCGAGCAGACTTGCCCCTGCAGGCATGCAGGCACCCTAAGTGTCCCAGCCATGTTTATGTCCACCCTGGTGCCAGCCTCCCAGCCCCCCACCTTCGAGGGATCTGAGAAACAGGGGCTGCTGGGGGCTCACTTGACTTTGGAGAAGACGATGTCAACATCAGTGCCTGTCACAGCCTTCCCGTCGGCCACCTTGCAGTCCTTGCACAGCTTGGCCCAGTTCTTGCCATTCATCTCATGCCCGCTGGCCTTAGGATCGCCATGGATGGCAAACTTGCGGAAGCTCTCCTCCAGCCCTGCGACATCTGTGCTCGTCGCCATGCCACCCTGCAGGGGTCCACCTCTGTCACTTCCCGGCCAAGCTGCACTGTCCCAAGCCACAAAAAATCCCCATCTCCTCCACCCTACAAGCTGGCTGCATGCATACCATGGACCCTCAGAGCTTCAGGCCTGGAGCTGGGCACTCCCTGTCCCAACTCGGCTGGGTTCTGGCAGAGCCCACAGAGAGTAGGTCCTGCCTACTGCTTTGTGTCCGGCCTGGCTCTGAGAAGGCCACAGAAGATGGAGTCATGATGCCCACATCAGACCAGGAACAGAATGGCACTGTCCAGAAAAGCTGTGAAGGCAGCAGCTGGGGAAATGGCTTTGTTTGGTCTTGGCACAGGGCCTGCCTGCATGGAGGCGAGGGTGGCTAGGCAGGTCCCCCTGCACTGGCCCAGCCCAACTGGAAGCTGCACATGGATAGTGGAGCAGAGTCAGGGCTGGTATGGGCTGCTGGCTGGGCATGTATTCAGTGAGGACAGTGTCATTGGAAGGGTTGTGAAGACCCAGCAAGAGCCAGCCCTGGGCTTGAGAAAGGAGCCAGAACATGGGCAATGGTGCATGCCCCAGGCAAGGGTGCAGCTGGCCCAACCGGGACCTTGTTACTATTTGCTATTAAACAAAAACATGAGGGGGAGCAAGAGCTCGGTGCTGGCCTGGCCACAGTTTGTGAAGCCTGGAGACAGTTGCTATGGGAGGGTGGTGCTGCTTGCAGAAGGTTGCTAAGGGCAGGCTGGTGTCAGGGCGGCGCAGGGAGAAGCTCCCAGAACTGCTGGGCTGGGCCAGGCTGGGCTAAGCTGGGGAACAGGGACCCATGGGTGGGGCACAGGAACACTCCCTGTGCCCGGGGCACCACCATCTTCCTGGCCCTTGGTCACCTAGTGGGACTAAACCCCCCCCCCCCCAGTCTGCAGCGTGTAGGAGCAGGACACTGGGGGCTCCCTCTGCATGGGGCTCCCAAATTTTCAGCCATTGACACATAGTAAGTGGGGCTGTGGCCCTGTGACCCTCCATCCACTGAGGCACATCTGCCTTGTCTGTGCCTCATCTTCCATAGAGGCCACCCTCGCCATGCCCTGAGGATGGCCAAAATACTGGTCTGCCTTCCCATATGCATATGCACCCAGCCCCTGTCCTCCAGCCCCTGGGCGATGGAGTCGTGACCACACCCTAACCTGTACTACTACAACCTCTTCCAGACTCACCCCAGAAACCTGGGGCTCAGATCTCTACCATCCTCTACCCCTTCACTGCTAAGATGGCCTCCTACAGTAATAGCCTCAGCACTGCACAAAAGTGCCTCCCATATACACAGCCTCCACTGCGGTCCCCTGGGCCACGCCCTCCCCAGAACACAGCTTTGCTGCCATGACCACACCCTTTGCCCTGCGTTGCGGAGGCCTCATCCACACCCCTCCCACCTAGAGAATGGAAGTGGATACAAACACCTGCAGCTCTCCTGAGACCCATGCTTGCAGCCCCCTTTGCCCACCACCTTTATCAAGACCCAGGACCACACCTTCAGCCCCCTTTGTCCACATTCCCACTGCCTCTCACCACACTCTTGTCTGGCATTAAAGCCCCTGAGTGTCCCTGTCCATACACTGGTACCCCAGATTTCCACACTGAGACCACCCCAGCCCTGCTGGCCCACACCCCTCTCTGCACTGCAACCCCCTAAATACACTTCAGTCCCAACAACCATCCTCTAGCTCCACCTTTTATACTAGAGCCTCCAGGGGCCACAGCATGAGCCCATGCCCAGCTCCCCACTCCCACTACTGCTGATCTGAACACTAGAAATCATCCCCCCACCCACCTACCCTAGTGAGCTCTGGGAGCATGAGTACCCAAAGCTGCTACATTTCAGGGCCTCTAGGAACCAAACCCTGGGTCTGTAATAGGCTCCCCCTTTGCCCTCTCAAGATGCACCCTACCACCAGAGACCTAAAGACCTGCACTTAATTCAAGGGGGATTTGGGCACCACTGGGCACCTGTCCCAAGAGACTGGGAGCCTCCTGCCTGCAGCACAAACTCTTGTCTGCGGGAAGATGAATTCTGGGGAGTTTCCCAGCTGCTCAGGTGGAGCCTGACCTGCAGGCCCTGGATGCAGGCACCACGCCCATGAACTGGGCCACCGCCGGCTCCCGCTGGGACAGCTGGAGTCATCAATCAGCGAGGCAAGGAGGTTGGGGCTAGAAAGTGGAACGGTTGGGCCAGGCAGGGCCGCTCAGCTAATGTCCTCATCTTGGTACGGGGGAGGGGGGTTGAGGACCCTTTCCAGACCACTCCCATCCACCCCCTTCCTCATTGTGCAGGATATTGATTAGAGTGATCGGCGTCCCAGTCTCCTACCGGCTTCTACCTCTTGGCTGCTCCTGTAGCGCGCGTTCAGATGGACCGAAGGACGCAGGAAGGGACCCACGGATGCGGGGCACCAGGCTGCTCCGCAGCTTCGCTCCCTGCAGGCTCCCAGGCGGGACTGCAGCCCGGGCGGCTCCTCCGTATTATCCCCTGTTTCTCGGTCTCCTTAGAGACGGCGAGTCCCACCCCCGAGGCTGTCTCGGCGGGAGAGTGACCAAGGTCACGCTGGCTCCGCCCACCAGACCCCGCCTGCGTGCTGTGGCTGGGAGCCGGCAAAGCTACACCATCGGTCTTATTCCGCTCCTCCCCGGCAGCCTCGCGATCTTTGCAGCATGAGAGCTGGTCCTCTGCGGGTCTGGGCAGAAGTCCTCGGAAGTCCCCCCCGACGGGCTATCAGCCTCCCAACCTGGGCTCTGCTCAAAAAGTTCTCTCCCTCCTGGGCGAATCCAGCTTCCCAGAGCGCCAAATTGGGGCAGCCTGGGAGCTGGAGCGTAGGCGAGGGGGTGAGGGACAGAGCAAGGTGCGTTTCTGTAATGACAAGGGGCTGCAGCTGGCGACGTCTCCCGCGTTCTCTGGAGGAGGGAGGGTTGGATGAGTGCACAGCGTTTGCTCAGTCGTGGAATTTTGCACTCCCACAAGGAGGCCCGACGCCAAGAAAAGCTCCTGGTCCCCTGGGATCGGTCCCCTTGCTTTTATTCCCACCTTGTCCTTCTGAACCCAAAGTCTTCCCACTTCCCCTTCCACGGCCATCTCCAAGGACAAATCCAGTGTTCAGTAATCATAATAACAGCAACTGCCAGACTGCCTCTTCAGATCTTTTAACCACGAGTCCCGCACCCAGGGCGCTTCAGGTCCACACATACCACTGTCTGACAAGTAGCCACCACGGTTTGGGAACCCACCTTGGCCTCTGCCTCTAGACCAACTGGGAATGCCATCCTTGCTTAAAGTAAACACCAGGCCCAGCACCACAGCCCAGTGGCTGAAGTCTTTACCTTGCACACACTGGGATCATATCCCAGCTGCTCTATTTCCCATCCAGCTCCCTGCCTGTGGCCTGGGAAAGTAGTGGCCCAAAGTCTTGGGATCCTGCACTCATATGGGAGACCTGGAAGAAGCTCCTGGCTTCTGGCTTTGATCAGTTCCTTTGCAGCCACTTGAGGAGTGAACCAATAGACGGAGGATCTTTCTCTTTGTAAATCTGACTTTCCAATAAAAAAAAATACAGCTGACCGGGGCGATGGACTGTGCCTGGCCCTGTACTTGCTAGTACATGCGAGAATCTGGTCCGGAAACACCTCAGACAAAGTTTCATTGGAGATCTCCCAAATCAACATGCTGGACTCAGAACCCTAACCAAGAAAAGAGAGAAGACAGAACAAGTCAACCAACCATCCCAGCTATATCTTGGCACGGGGCAAACAGAGACTCTATAGACTATGTCAATCAGTGGAATCCTCAAGGACCCCATCATGCTTGGAGTGGCAAGATTGGCAGCGATTCATAACTGTTGAAATATCAAAACCACTTGAATAAGAACCTCAGGGCCCGCACGGTGGCGCAAGTGGTTGAGTCCTCGCCTTGCACGCCCAGGATCCCATATGGGTGCTGGTTCTAATCCCGGAAGCCCCACTTCCCTTCCAGCTCCCTGCCTGTGGCCCAGGACAGCCCAAAGCCTTGGGACCCTGCACCCGCGTGGGAGACCCGGAAGAGGCTCCTGGCTTCGGATCAGCATAGCATTGGCTATTGCGCTCACTTGGGGAGTGAATCATCAGACGGAAGATCTTCCTCTCTGTATCTCCTCTCTGTATATCCGCCTTTCCAATAAAAAAAATAATAAAAATAAATCTTTAAAAAAAATTAAAAAAAAAAAAAAGAACCTCAGAGCATACCCTACATCTGGGACCTGGGGAGGGTGGGAAATTGGGTGGGCCTTTTCCCTTAATACCCCCTTTAAACATGAAGGAAACAATTTGGAAAAAATAATAGTCTTACCCACTTTCCTGTAGCCCTTGACCCTTTTTACCCTAATTAACTATGTAAAGGTTGTCAAAATATTTTTTTTATTATTTTTTATTGTATTTTTTATATTTATTTTTATATATGTTATTTTCTTTGATAGTGTCCCATAAGCCCCATAGGCTTCTTTTTTTTTATTTATAAATTTTTATTTTGACATTCTTTACATAGTTAATTAGGGTAAGAAGGTTCAAGGGCTACAGGAAAGTGGATACTACTAGTAAAATATATTTTAAAAACAAATAAAGAAATAAAATTTTTTTAAAGATTGTCTTTAAAAATAAATAAATCTTTTTTTAAAAAATAAATCTTTTTTTAAAAGAAAGTAAACACCAAGTTCGCAAAAGCATTAAAAAAACATTTATTGGAGCATCACAGCCGGTGGGCAGGTATTGCTGAGTGGTAGGGGAAGGAGGCCGATCCCGCCAGCCATGGGGACTCCTAAAGTGCACTGGGGACTGCAAGCGTGGGGTGTTGCATAGAGAGTTGGGCCGGCCGCTACTCCTTGGCCCTCTGGCTTATCTGTCCAGCTACTTAAGGCCACTGTCCTGGGCATCTGGAGCCTTGAGTTCACCACTCCAAGGGCTGACACACACAGCGGGAGCCCGCGTCTGCAGCGCCAGCCCTGGCTCCCGAGCCCTGCCCCCAGGGGTAGCCAGAGCAGCACTGCCCAGGCGTGTCTGTGCCACTGGAATCTCATCCAGGGACTCGGCCCACGCCAACTGGTCGGTGCCTGCAGGGCCAACAGTGGGCCTCGGACTGGCTCTTGTGGAATCACTCAGTGAGCCGGAATGGTGCTCAGTGTTCCGGGACCCTGCATGGTGAGGAAAAACAAGAGACAGAGGGCTGCAGCTTGCTCCGACTTCTGCCTTGCTTTTCCTTGGAGCTTGCTAGGGAGGACCTGGACATGCACGGGTGCTTACCCCGCAGCCTGGGCAGCGAAGCCACCTCCCAGTTCAGGATCTCTGACATCGGTACCTTATACATGCGCCGCTTCTTCTTTTTCTATGGAAACAGAGGAAGTCTAAGGGCAGCTTAGTCTTCAAATTGGTGGAGGTGGAGTTGTGCAGGAGGATAACGGCCCTTTTCCAAGCCCTCTCCCATTGTGTCCAAGGGGGCCCAGCTGTATTCCCTACCTGGGGGCAGATCCTGGGAGGCAAGGCCAGAGTGTCTGGGGAGGAGGGCAGTGGAGGCTCTCCTTGGCCCCTGGTGGTAAGAAATGGGGCAGGACTGAGAGGGTAGCAGAAGGTTAAGCACAGGGGGGCTGTCCCCCAAAGTCCTTTGTGCTGGGGGTCCTGATGCAAGCTTCTCTACTTGGCAGAGGGCCCTGGGCTGACCCATCTGAGTCATTCCTGAGCTGTACCCAGACCCAGGTCTGGGCCTTGACCCATGCTTTCTCCCACCTTGGGTGGCCCTGCCATGCTAGTGGGAGATGCCCAGATCACACTCACTTGGCATTCACTGCCACTGGCCTGGCTTGGCTTGGGGGCTCTGGGCGCGCATGGCTGAAGGTCTGCATATAGAACTCCATCTCCTGTGGAAGGCAGGGGTCAGGGAGGCTGCAAGGTCAGGAATGCATCTGGAGCCTCCTGGGTCATGTGCCAGCCCAGGGGTGCACTGGCCCCTGAGGGAGGTTACAGGCCCCACCCAGCTGTCCAAGGCCATCCATCTATGCGATTCCCAAAGTCTCTCTGTGGGCTAAGAAACCTTATTGCTCCGCAGGTCCCCACTACATCCAGTCTAATTCCCTCACCTCCAGGAAGGCTCAGCTCCCCAAGTTTGGAACACACCCGAGCAGGACAGGCGCTCACAGCTGCTCAGCTCAGGGCAAGGCAAGGGCCACTCAGGGCGCCCGCTCCTTCTCCTAGCCCCTCCCAGGGCTCCAGCGTTTGAACCAGTTTGTACCCTGGCCGGGAGGTCCGAGGGTGTGCCCCAGATGGTGGCCCCAGACTGGCCGGCTCCTAGAAGCTGAGTCGGGGCGTGCCCCTCATGCTCAAAGAGCACCCAACGATAACCCTAACCCCGAGCTGCGGGGAAGGGCCGCTAGCGGGAAAAGGAAGGTGGCACCCACAGCGCCACAGCTGGCAACAGGGACTAGGCTTATTTATGAGCGAGTTGCGTCTTGTTTAATTGCAAGCCCCGAAAATAAAGGGACCTGGGAGGTCACCTCGCGGCCTAGGCCTGCACCCCAACAAGGAGGGTGCACCCCAGGCACGCCCACCAGGGCGGCAGGTGAGGAAACAAAAGGCAGAACAGAGCCAGCAGGGAAGGGCGTGGTGCGGAGGATGTGGGCGTGGCTTGGGCGGCAAGGCCCCGCCCCTGGCGGCAGGGAAGGAGAGAGGCAACACCCCGACAGTTGTCACTGGCCCAGCAGTCGCTTCCATGGAGACCAAGGCGTCCTGACTAATGCAGAGAAGACACTGTAACAGCAACGCCGTCTCTAAAACAAGCCTATGTTTGGGGGCAACGGCTCCAGAAAGGGGCCCCTCCCGCATTCCTGCTCGGGGTGGGGGTGGGGAAGCTGCCTGCTGGGGCTCTGGCAGACCTGGGAACGGGGCCCAGCCACAGCAGGCCGGCTGTACAGGTGCAGAGACCCTGGCAGAGCCTTGGGGAAGGGGGTGGAGATGCTGGCCTGACCTCTGCCTGGGGTCAGAGGTCAAAAACAAGGCATAATGACCTGCACCTCAAGGTAACCCTCCCCCCAACTTTTTACTCTTGTTCACTCAGCATCTTTCGCTGGCCCAGTAGAGGGCCAAAGTCTACCCCAGTTCCCAGGACCTCAAAGGGTGGGGCACAGAGAGAGCAGCAGTAGAGAATGGTCTTAAAGCCCATGGGGCCAAGCCCTAGCCGGAGCCCTAGTCACTAGGGAGGCCCACTCCAGACACTCCTGCTCTCATTACAGCTGTCCCTTGGAGCTATACCTCTGCCTCAGTTCTGCTCTGTAAACGGGCCCTGGGTAGGCCTCCCTGCAAACGGACACAACAGAAGCCCAATGTCCTTGCTGCTGCCACCCTTGGCCCATAGCCTAAGCATGACAGCGACACAAAGCCTGCAGTCTATGCCCCCTCCAGGGGGGCTCTGGCCTTGATGCCTAGAGA